ACATAATGTGAAGTTAATCCGGAAACTAAAACTGTTGAGGAAGTAAGCCCACAGTATGCATTTACAAGGTGGTTCTGGGAATATTCGGTGCATGTGGACAGAGATCGATGTTGCCATTACTTCGTCAATGAAAACTTAGTGGGATAAGTGAAAAGGTTCATTAGTATATAGAATGCACATGCATCACCATTAATCTTAAATCTTGACCATCTAATTTTCTAACTATAAAAAGACTACAAATTGGATGACGTGGAGTACGTGTTCGACTTTACACGTTGGTTAGTCTGCTCTGACACCATAAAAAAAAGTTGAGGTTCCACCATAAAACCAATTGACAATAGGAATAGTAGCTTAACTTTTTATAAATACTTATATAATTTGATCCACATCAATATAGAACTTTGTTCTCACATTTTCACAATAGTTGCGTGGATTTAGAGAGTGCATAAACATAATTAAGAAAAGCTTGCACTTCTGTTTAGATCACGAACCCTAGTATTTTTAACAAGACTTCCTCTTTGACAATTGCTAAAAATGAAGGAATTAATAGAACGTGAGGGTGATGATATGAAGGTTTAGACACTACAAGTTGGATGGAGCACGATGCGATTCACATGTAATTTTCAACAACTTAAACTGAGTGATTGAGAAACAAAGACCGTTAGGCATATGTCGACGCTAAATTTCTGTAGACACACAAAAAATTTGATTCAAATGACCCCATAGAGAACAACTTATATTACCAATGTATACTGTCGCGTAAGATCTCGTGTCAATAAAACAAGGATATATGAATAATAATTTACACATGACTTTATTTTATTGATGCATGATACATTATGATGGTGTATACGTGTCATATACGTCATTTTCACACTAATGATCCTTTTCAGTTTTTGACTTTATAATACAAGACATATTTCATTACATATTAATGACAACTAATCCTCCTCTGCATACAGCTCCACATGTACCACATGAGATAATATCATATATCTAACGCACGGGTCAAACGATACGTCGAAACAGAGCGGATGACTCCAAAAAATGTATGAAATAATTCGGTTTTTTGTATGAAATAATTCGGTTTTTTTTTTGTTATGACTTCAACAAGAGGCAGCTAGCACACAGACGTTGATAAATTGGTGGAGATATATAAGAGCAGTGTGATGAACTGATATGACTGATGAGAATATAACATATATTAATGCAGAGGCAAAATTGTGATATGCAATTAGGGAGGTGGAAGTTCACATTATCTGACGTAGGGGTAGAACCGAAAACCGAAATCGAAACACGAATCAAATTGAACCGCATCGAACGGTTTGGTTTTACGGTTTTGAAACGGTTTCGGTTTTGAAACCGAACCACAACATAGAAAACGGTTTGGTTTTGGTTATGGTTTTTGAAAATCGCACCAAAACCGAACCGCACCACAAATATTAATAAACATTTAATTAAATGTCCATATTAGATTTGATGTTTTAATTGGTTGTTTGTTAGAATTCATGCACTTAGTATGAATTCAACCACACTAGAATATCATCATTCATCACTTTATTATGTTCATTAACTTGAAGGACCTTTGTTATTTTATACCATCACACACACACACATATATGTACAATGGTGGATTAATCTTGTTATCAAGAATCGAACAATGATCTAATGAAGTCCACTAATTTGAAGCATGATATCACATATTCTAGTATGAAAGTTTCGCTCATGTTTAATGAATTCAAAGTTATTCAACTTGTTTTATGCTATACCTTGTACGGAACACCCTTTTGTTGCACAAACATATTTTAACATCACAACTGCATGCAACATACTAATTGTTTACATAACAAATGTCTTTTTCCTATTGCTACTGGAAAATGCTTATTAATATGTTAAATTACAAATTGTACATTTTTTCTTAAAAACCAAACCGAAATAGTTTGAAACTGCACCGAATCGAACCAAACAGTTTGATTTCATTTCGGTTTTGGCTTCAAAATCGCATCGAACCGAACCGCAAAAAATTTCAGTTTCGGTTTCACTCAAAACGTCACCGAACCAAATCATGCCCACCCCTAATCTAACATGCAAGGCAGGTGGTGGTTGTGAATTTTACGTCGGATACAACTTCACTACTAAACAAATCAGCAGCTGCTGCTTACTACCAATCCCAACTGGATACGTGTATAGCTGGAATTGATCTGAAGCAGCTGCTGCTGAGCCAAGTCCAGTTCTTTTATGTCTACCTTTCTCTCTGTGATGTGCAAAACGGATGGGAAGCCAGATCAACGATGAACAAACGCGTGTTCTTACCCACGTTTTTGGGTTGAAACGCGTGTTATGACAAAATCATCCGCTTGGCAATTGCGGACTTATCGATGCATGCAAGCAACACAAGGACAAGATAGTTAGTTAAGTTTAGGAGATAATTAGGTTATACTAATAAGGTCAAAAATGTCAGAAGGTCCTCAATACATTGAGCTAGCTTGCTGTAAACGCCAAGCTTGATCTACTAATAGCGTCTGTCAACCACCTCAATTGTTTATTATATGAATCCGGATTCTCTTTGTGAGGATCTCGGGGATTCGTAAATCGTAGTCATTTATCGTACATCGTATGGTCATAAATTATTTTAAATATTTTAATTTAAAATTAAACACAAACAATACCTGATAAAAACTGATCGTACGATGTACGATGAATAGACACGATTTACGGATCTCCATGATCCTTACCAAAAGGATCCGGAGAGGATCTTGTTGGTTATTATATGATTAGACCAAGAGTGAATTCTAGTCCCACTATCGGCAATTTCTCTTAATGGGTGATTTGTAAAAACCAAAAAATGGGCTAAGACTCTTTGCGGCTTGTGGTATGCCCTAACACTAAGATGGAGTAGTTTTTGGTTTCTTTGCAGTTGAGAGGGTGACGCTTGGCACTTGGTGTAGCGTCTTTGCTTTTGTCCCCCCCTGCTCTGTGTTTGTTGCTTGTTGTGTTGTTCCCCCTTGGGTGGGCTTCGCGTTCCTTTGGCTTCTGCCTTGGTTATTCTATTTCTAGTTTTCCAAAAAAAAAAAAAAAAGGGGTCAAGCTCAAGTTTAAGTACCAACCCTTAACCAAATTCTTGAGGTAGGGTAAAGTAAGTTGTTATTTTGTAATAATCATATAAGCACCAACCCTTTGCCAAATCCTTGCAAAATTCATTGAGATTTTAATTATTTTTTATAAACTAAATTATAAACATGAAATATTATCACCTGTTTTTTTTTTAAGTTGCAAAATAAAGAGGTGGATAAAGCAAACCCTTCAACCATTGTAAGATTCCCATCATAAAATGTAAAAAAAATTCTAAAGTGACTATAAAAGAAAAATTACAGAATCGAAAATAAGTATTAGGTTTCGTCAAGATTATATAAAGACAAGTCAGCGGCTCACAACTAACCACATTAATATTGACAATCAACTTGCATCTTATAATTTATTACATGCACATTACAGCATGTGTATTATAATTTATTTTATTAATTTTCCAATGCAAAATTCTTAAAATTTAAACATTATGCATGTGCAATTTATAAGTCATAAAGGTGACATCATGGGCAGATTTATACAGTTTGTGAAGTGCATGCATCAATCCTAATATACCAAAAATAATACATTCATCAAACATAGTACACTCCACCTGCACAAACTCACACGAAAGGTTTTTTAAGACAAAAAATGTACATTTTAGGCAATGTATTGATGGTGAATGAGTTGTACTCCTACATGGCAATAGAATCTTTCCTAACTTAAAAGCTAAAAAAAAATATAAACATTACAATATGAAAATGGAATGAAATTTGTTTAATATGCATCTAAATTAGGCTTGACAATTTATTGCACAATCTTTTTTTTGTCAAACAATAGATTTTGTTAGATTAGTCATCACTGACGAGGTTTGAATTCATGTCGTCATGCAAAACCTTAATACCCTTCAACTACTGTGATAAAGGGCCACTTGCACGACCTGTTAACTCAACATGAACTAACACGAAAATAATAGATTTGGGATCAACTTGTTAACGAGTTGGGTCATTATCAAGTCACCTGTTACGAACCCGTTAACGAGTCAGGTTGTTATTGAGTAACCTGTTAAGAACTCAATTAGAAATTGTCTACTAGATCTAGAAATTAGGCATAAATTTTTTTTGCATGACTCGTTAAACCGACTCAAAACTATATGACATGTTAACAGATCAAATCGTTATCTGGTCATTTGTTAAAAACTCGTTATGATAACAGGCTTGATACGACATTGGGAATACAACACAAAATCTTGGTCATTTCAGTATAATACACCGGAACATGATGAATTTTTTGAATGAATGACCTTTAAATGATGTCTCAATACAAAGTTTACAAACCTTTTTGTTTATATTATATACATATACATATATATATATACTTTTTTTCACATTACCAAACCTTTCTCTAACCCGATAAAGTAGAAACAAAATCTTATCTAACACCAAAATATGAAAAATAAAAAAAATTGAGACAAAACAACAATCAAAACGCAGAAGATATCGAGAGCGAATTACAGCCGTTGATTGGGTTTTATTTGGACAGCGGTTAATTCGCGAAGTCCAACCTCTCCCTAATCCAACGGTGCGAATTACACGACACGCAGATAGAGAGGCTGAGCGATTTCTCGATTGTCCATCAAAAATCAAAACTTCTCTCTTCCCAGGACACCATCTCTGACGACTGACGGTCTTCCTCCGTCTCTACTTGGATCCTAACGACGTCGTCGTGATTCGCCGAACCAAACGCTCTGTTCCGCCGGATTTACTTCGTCTCGGTATTTTCTGCGCTGTTGAGAAAAAAACAGAGAGAAAGAGAGAGGGGGAGGGGAATTGACCTTTGAAACGCCGGCGTATCGGAATTTAGGGTTTTGAGGGCTGGATTTCGGGGTTTCTATGGGGCTCGGCAGCGATGAAGAGGTTGTGGTTGACGAAAGCGATGGCGGTGGCGATGGCGGTGGTTGTGGAGGCAAGTCGTACGGAGGCTCTGTTTCCTGCTCGATTTGCCTTGAAGTCGTCGCCGATAAAGGGGATAGATCTTGGGCCAAGCTGCAATGTGGGCATCAATTTCATCTAGGTAAGTCAAAATTGAATCGATTGGAAGTTTCGTTTTTTTCTAACTGCAATTTGAAAGATCCGGGTTCAAAATTGGTTTCTGATTTCGCAGTTATGTTGGATTTTTATTTTTTCGGTGATGGGTTGTTTGATTGGTCAAGAATTGAGGAAAGAAAAGAAATTTAAAAAAAAATTACGAAACTTAAACTGAATTTTGCTTCCTTTATTAAAGCTTTGGTTTTGTTGGGTTGTCATTGTTTGCCCTGTTCTAAACTTACATGTATTATATGTTGGGTTTTACGGCTCAAAATTAGGATGATGCAAAAAATTATGTTTGTGTTACCTATTTGGTTTTGGTGTCTTATTTGGGTTTGGATTTTGACTTCTTAGTTGGTTTTCTTGGTGGAGAGGTTTTATTAATTACCTATTTGATTAGGATTTGGATTTACTTCTTATTAGGATTCTTTTTGTAACCTAAGTCCTATGCATTATAAATAGGACCTTAGGGTTAGTGTATTTTGTGTGGCAATTTGGTAAGAGTCAATTTGTGAGGTAGAGAGCAATTTGGAAGAATCTTCTCTGTTTGTTTTGAGTTCTTTACTCGTTTGGTTTAGGGATTGTAATTTGTGGGATTTGGGTTGTGAGAGTTTAAACATTTTTTTGTAATCTCCGTTTGTTTAGTGAAATTCCTCGCCGTGCTTCACTCGTGGACGTAGGCTTTCCGCTGAACTACGTAAATCTCTAGTGTTAGTTTGAGATTGTTTGTATTAGCTTTCACCTACGACGTTGATATTGATAATTTGTTAGAATTCGCTTTCGTTTGTGCATAAAAGTACAAGAAGTGGTATTAGAGCCAGGTTTCGGCTTGGGCTTTGCTTGGCAATCACTATGAAGCCTTCTATGTCATCGGTGAAAGTTGATATTGAAAAGTTCAACGGCAATGACTTTGGTATTTGGCAATTGAAGATGCGTGCTTTGTTAGTTCAACAAGGGCTTTTGAAAACGCTAAAGGGTGTGAAGGCTTTGCCGAATTCGTGGACTGATGAAGAAAAAGAAGACGTTATGGAGTGGGCACTTGGAGCAATCCTGCTGACTTTATCGAATAAAGTCTTGCGTGAAGTTGTTAGCATCAAATCTGCACCGGAGTTGTGGATAAAATTGGAGAGCTTGTATATGACTAAATCCCTTGCTAAACGGTTGTATTTGAAGAAAAGTTTGCATACTCTTCGTATATGGATGAAGGTACGTCAATTCATAAGCATGTTGATGAATTCAATAAACTTATGATGGATTTGAAAAGTGTGGATGATCAAATTAGTGATGAGGATTATGCGATAACTTTGTTGTGTTCTTTATCTCCTTCGTATGAACTCTTTGTCGATATTATGTTATTTGGTAGAGAAAGTCTTAGTTTGGAAGATGTTAAAGTCGCTTTGAATTCTAAAGAGCTAAAGAATAAAGTGTCTGACACACAAGATGGAGCTTTGGTAGTTCAAGGAAGGAATAAGGAAAGGAGCAAACTTGGAAAGAACACTTGTAACTATTGTTATAAGGAAGGTCATTGGAAAGTAGATTGCCCTAAACTCAAGGGAAAAAAGAAGTCGTTTGATAAGTCTTTTGCTAGTGTTGATGCAAACATTGCAGAAGATTGTTCTGAACTCCTCTAAAGGTTATGTAAGGAGGTGGAGCTTGATACTCAAGCTCTTGGGGTGGAGTGCAATTCGCACTTTTTGTTTGTATGTTCAAGCTTTTGCTTGGATTTTGTTTCGTATTTGCTAGTTTTCGTAATGGAATTTGTTGGAGAAGGCGTTGGAGGAAATTTCAAGTTTGAAGACTTTTGGATTTTTTGAGTCTAGGTGGAGTCGGTTTTGAAAGAATTTGGTGCACTTTTGTGTTTGTATTTTTGTATCCCAAATTTGAAGTTTGTATTTGATTTGGAAGTTTGCTAATTTTTCGCCGAGGTGGAGATTGTTGGGTTTTACGGCTCAAAATTAGGATGATGCAAAAAATTATATTTGTGTTATCTATTTGGTTTTGGTGTCCTATTTGAGTTTGGATTTTGACTTCTTAGTTGGTTTCTTAGGTGGAGTGGTTTTGTTAATTATCTATTTGATTAGGATTTGGATTTACTTCTTATTAGGATTCTTATTGTAACCTAAGTCCTATGCACTATAATTAGGACCTTAGGGTTAGTGTATTTTGTGTGGCAATTTGGTGAGAGTCAATTTGTGAGTTTGTGAGTTAGAGAGCAATTTAGAAGAATCTTCTCCGTTGGTTTTGAGTTCTCTACTCGTTTGGTTTAGGGGTTTGTAATTTGTGGGATTTGGGGTGTGAGAGTTTAAACGCTCTTTTGTAATCTCCGTTTGTTTAGTGAAATTCCTCGTCGTGCTTCGCTTGGATGGAGGCTTTACGCCGAACCAGGTAAATCTCTTGTGTTAGTTTGAGATTGTTTGTTTTAGCTTTCACCTACGACGTTGATATTGGTACTTTGTTAGAATTCGCTTTCGTTTCTGCATAAAAGTACAACATTATATATATATATATATATATATATATATATTTTCACTTTATCAGCATTATTAATCCGTTGCTTATGCAAGATATGATGATTATATCTTTCTTGCAGAACCATGTAGTTGGATTTCTACTTTTCAATTTCTTGTAATTTGATTCAATGGATAGAACCAGAATTTTTACTGGAAGATGCGGAATCGATACAATATGTCAATGAAAATGAAGTATTGTTTTGCATGATGGTCTCTTGAATATTTTTCTTTGAAACCAGTGGAGGTACTGGAACTGGATACTTTGGGAGATTTGATTTCTCTGTGAACCTGCAATTAAGTGAAATATATAACAGGTTTCTGTACTCCCATTGTCGAAAGTGCGGTGTTGACAACCTGAATTTGTATGGTATTGAGAGCCTATAGTGTCATAATTTAGTCACAGGTTCAGTAGACCATTCTTCAGATTACTTTGATAATCTTTGTCTTCGTATTCTTAATCTAGAATTATTTTGATCTTAAAGATGACATTTGGATATCCCCAATAGCAATTTCTTTCCTTTGGTAGCTCAAATCATCTCATATCAGTAAGTGGAGTTGCATGTTTGCTGAGGCATAGTTATATAGTTCTTACAAGGGCATAAGTTTAGTTATGCCTTTTCAGTAAAGATGATACGGAGCTTTCATGTTTCTTGATTTTTTTTGTGACGCCCTTTCAGATTGCATTGGTTCAGCCTTCAATGTAAAGGGGGCAATGCAATGCCCTAATTGTCGGAAAATCGAGAAAGGTCAATGGCTTTATTCTAATGGATGCCGTTCATTTCCGGAATTTAGCATGGACGACTGGACACATGATGAGGATCTCTATGATTTAAGTTATTCTGAAATGGTAAATAGTTTGGATCCTTTTTGAATTTAATGTTCTGTTACTTTTTGTGAATATTCAATTTTTGTACTCAAACACAAACTCTAGTTAATGGTTTTCTATATGCTGACATTATGGTTATGGCCCTTTGTTCATGTTTAGATACGTCTCTGTGGGTTCAACTTATTAATGACAGATAGTAAGGTTGTAAACAATATATAGATTAACTTACCTGATAGAATCAATATAGCATCAAAAGGAAGTTCTGCTTCAAAGGCTAGGATAACCCATTCCTTATTAAAGAGTGCGTTCCCTTCAAGCCAAAGGCCATGCTTCTAGATTGTCCTTGTATGTTATTTATTAGGAATAACATCTGCATATTAAAGCTTCACAGAAGCAGAAATAGTTGACTTTCTTCAGATATTTATTGCTATTCGTAACTCATAGGCAAAATCTCAATTTTCTCTATTGCTAGTGGTGAACCATCACCTCAGCTTATAGGTGCAGGTAACCTACTTTCTGCCTCAGGATATGGATGTCTATTTTGCATGTAAGCAAAATAGTTTGGCTGGTGTGTGATTTTTGTCAAATCTGAAGTTAGTGATGATAATGAGGAGCAAACTCTAAAATTGGTTAGTAGGCAGAGCCCAGTAAGCTGACAAGTAAGACAACGTATTGATGCTCGAAAGCAATAACTTAAGGTAAAACAAACTGCAGGACTCACACTGATTATAAGTTTTCAATTATAATTAAATAATAAGTAAAAAGAGCTACAAACGTCAACTAAATAATCAAAAGCAATTCGGTCTTAAACAACCAAACAAAAAAAAAAGCTTCAAAAACTCTACAATATAGCTGGATAAGAAATGATAGAATTTTATTAAAACAATAGAAGGAATTACAATAGGTGGATAAGAAATCCACCAACTAGAAAAACTAGCTAAGACCTTTCAAGTAGGACTACTTTACTAGGAACTAAGCTAAACCAACTTCATTTTATGGCTGCTAACACATCCATCACTACATGGGAAAGAGAATAATCCATGAACTCATTCGAAATTGATACCCAGTATCTAACTCTATCTCATAGTTCCTCTACTTCCACTCCCTTATAATCCTAAAAAATTCTTCTATTACTCTCCAACCAAATGTTCCAAAAAACTACCAACACCAAACAGCCCCACAAAGCTTTAGCTTTCTTCCCCTTCCATAAATCCTCGAACTTGGTGGTTAGAAGCTAGAAACATCCCTTTGGAATAACCCAACTAGCTCTAACATCCTTGAACAATTTCCATCAAAGCTGTATCGAGTAAGAACAATGGAGATAAACATGATTAACACTGTACTCCTCTGATTTACATAAACTGCACCATTGAGGAGAAATGCAAATAAAAGGCCTTCGCTTTTGAACCTGGTCACAGGTGTTGACCTTCCCAATAGCCACTAACCACGCAAGAACTTTGACTTTTGGACGAGCTTTTGATTTCCAAATCTGAGAATAGGGTGGAAAATGTTGTAGAGTTCCACACAAGGAGCTATAGGATTTGCAAGTATCTCATTATGCACTCCAAATTTTTATATTTAGAAAGAAAAAATGTACTCTTATGAAGAGTGCACAATGAGAATTTGTAGTGCTATAAATGCACCTTTTCTTAACATATAACATTATTATATATATATATATATATATATAACAGATGGCAAAAAACTTTGGGACAGCATCTTTCGCACCCCCCCCCTTTTCTTCTTTCCTCCCCCTCCTCCCAAAAGCCGCTACTGGCAAAACCTTATGAAGAGTAAATGGATGAACAATTGTAGATAGAGCCCACCTAGAATTCTTCATGTGAAGTAGTAGTACCACGTGAAGAAGTTTGATACCACTGCATTTATTTTGTCTCATGAGTAGCTTCCCACATAATTGTGAGGACAATGTAATGTCTTCTACATGTTATTCTGTGTTGGATAGTATTAAATCCAAGTGACATGTTCTGACTTTCAAGTTCTATGTCATGCGTGTGTATAGAATAGATAAAGACTTATAAACTGATGTGCTCTATAGACTACAGTGTAAAAATGTCGTTCGTCATTTTGATATATTGTTTGTATATGAATGCTTTTTGCAGTCCTTTGGTGTGCACTGGTGTCCATTTGGTAGCTTAGCACGACTTCCCTCATCATTTGAGTAAGTGATCTCATTTGCTAAAGCTAATGTTTAAATTTATGTTTGCTGAAGTTTCTTTTCTGTAGTTAGCATTTAGTTTCTTGGGTTCAAAAGATACCAGTTTCCTTAGGCTTTTAGGCTCTTAAGAAACTTGGTTTTAGCCTATGTCAATAGCTTGCCAAAATCGAGATTGAGTTGAGATATGCGTTGAGATGGGGATTCAAGATCTCAAACCCCATCTTGATTCACATAGACCACAGCTTGGTCCTTTCAAGTTTAAAGCAGGTGAAGTTTTCAAGTTTGTTTCAAAAGGGGTTAGTATTCCAATGGACCCCTGCAAAGGGGTACCTTGATCCCAACATCTTTTTTGTTTGTTATAGTAGCAAATTTGAACAGAAAAACATTCGTATTGATCTTTACAATAAAATATTCCTCCTGGTATATGTGGCTAAATGGATTCAATTCTGGCGACTTATTTTTACCACCCCAGTGTTTTTCTTAATATAACTTCAGTGATGCTGCTAATTTTGCTTATTGGCTGGCTTAGCAAATCATGTGGAATCGTATTAACATAAAGTGTTATTCCCAGTTGACCTTTATCGCTCTGTTGTACACATTTGGGCACAGTTGCGTTTTCCTGGGAAGTTACATGAAAGTACTAAGGCCCATCGTCTGATTATTTTCTATCTATAAAGAGTCTTTTATTTTCCTTCTACGTGGTCACAGTTATTTGTGTTTACTCTATTTATATTTTGTTTCCATGTTTCCTATATGCTTATAAGTTTCAGAAGAAAAAAAATGAGAATTTGGTTTTCGACTGGGTGCTTGCTATTTGGACTTCATAATGTATTTGTTGTATCATTTTACTCTTGTATCTTTATGTCTTTCAAGTTTTAGAAATTTGTTAGGGTTGTAAAATAGATTCAAATTTGGTACTATCCTAGTTTGGATATTATGAGATATGACCTGACCGGTCCATATTACCAGATAAGCGACCAATTGAGAAGTTTTATAAATATTAAAGCAAATCATATAACATAATTGACTTGAATGCATGTGTTCTGAAAGAAAAAATATGAATATATTGTAGACATGCAGCATGTTACATTTTTAAATATGAAGGTTTAAAAGTTTGTTTTTACTGGCAAGGTATTCATGTACACAGTGAGGGTGTTGCGGGAAGAAGGAGAGGAGTTCAAATAGAAAAAAATAAAAACAGAAACGCCTCTAAATCAACTATATGTTACATGCAGACGTTCATTTTTCATTTTACTTGCTATTCAAGTTTAATATCTTCTCCTATAAGTTGAACATTTTTTTCTTCACAATTAACAGGGAAGGGGAGTTTTCACCAACATCCTGTAAGACTTTCTTCTTGTCATTTTAAGTTGTGATACTCTATTCTGGTATTGTGGAGGATTGTAATACAATGTGTGATATTCATATGATTAAATGTTGTCGTGCAGATCATGAATTACTTGGACAGCATGCTATCTTCGCTGAGCATACAGCTGTATCATCTGCTGCCCATCCTTGCCCATATATCGCTTACTTTGGGCCAATTCACCCTTCATCCTCAAACTCCAGTGGAAATGTGTCAGAAGCTTCCAACTTCAACCATCATTGGAGCGGCACATCTGTACCTAGTGAAATGCCCAACTCCTACGCTTTTCCTGCCATGGATCTTCATTATCACAGCTGGGAGCATCATTCCCCGCCTCCATTCTCTACAACCAACAATCATATTGGTGGCGCTGACCAGGCTTCAGTTCCATCTGTTACTCAAAGATCTGCTAGGCCGAGCGCAGATATACCAAGATCAGGATCTTTTATGCATCCATTCCTTGTCGGTCACAGGTAAGATCCTTTTTTTTCTAAATGAAGCAATTTTAATTGGTTGTAGTTTAGTTTCTAAAAAAGTTAATCACACCAGCAAGATCATTCCTGGTTCTCAAACTTATCATTGAATTTGATTAACGATGCAAGAGTACACAAATCTCTCTCGATACGGTGCTGCATAACATGCTTATATATAATATAAGTGTTATGTTTATTGAATCATTTGTGTTTGCTTCCTGCAGTTCTAGTGCTAGAGCTGGCAGCTCAGTCACTTCTTCGATGATTCCTCCTTATCCTGGCAGCAATGCACGGGCCCGCGACAGAGTCCAAGCTCTTCAGGCATATTATCAACAGCAACAACCTAATAATTCACCAACCATGCGTACGCCCATAGTTCCAGGAGCCCGGAGATCCAGCAGTCAAAGAGGGGTAGCTCAAGTAGGGCCAGTGGCTTCATCATCGGACCAAAATGGTGGTTTCTATTTTTTCCCATCCGGTTCATCAGGTCGTAACTACCAAGAGGCTGAAAATCCGTTACCTAATCGTTTTCATCCATGGGAAAGAGATCACATGCCTTCATTCTCGATGAATCAGGTAGACCGAGATCAAGGTTGGTCTGCTTTTAACCAAGGTGGCAGTGGTTCAGACTCGGCCATCAGAGGGAGCAGCTTCCGGCAAAGGCATGGGTCCGAGAGGTCATCCTCACAAAACCGGTCATAGGCTTTTCTCCTCATCCTTTTGTTGGTGAAGCAAACTATCGCTATCTATAACTGAAATCAAAAGTTATGTATGCTTGAAAACGATATATAATGCTTGGTGTCTTGTCAAGTAATGACAAGACGCCAAAATACTGTCAGTGTGGCTCGGAAAACGCTCCTTTTGCAGCCACATGGTGGTGTGATGGACGTAACATTCGTCTAGTTTGTTCGCCTTCAGGGGTATGAAAATAAGCTCGTTGTGGATGGCAAGGTTATGATTCGAGCGCCTGCTTGGCCGTATTTTATGATTCTCGGGTCATCTGCAAATGTCCCGGTTTTTATCTGGATGGCCAGAACCAACTGTTGTTGAGGATAAGTAATCGGTGGGTCGTTTATTTATGTCCGAAAACATATATTCCTGCAGTGCTTGGTTTCCTTTTTGAACAATTGTTGGATGGATGTACATGAAATCAAATATTTTGATAGTTATTATCCCCCCATTTGCTTGTATAAGCCGGCAACTAAGAGTTCGTTTGGATATGTTTTTAAAATGACTGGAAGCGTTTTTGGTGAAAATATTTTGAAAACCAATCTTTAGTAAATATTCAAGTAAATCTTGGAAAAGCATTTAAAGTGCTTCCTAGAAGAAGCGTATAACTAGTTCTTCTTGCATAAAGCAGTTAAAGTGCTTTTGGAGCCCACATTTTTTTTTCTTTTCTAAAAGCGCTTTCAGTCATTTTAAAAACACATCCAAACAAGTTCTAAAATAAATAATTTGTTTTTCATTGCGGATAAAAGTTAATTATTTATATTATATTTGATGCAGTGCGACCCAATTCCAATGAATTTGGATCTCTTCAGACCTTAGTGTCTGACGCCCAAGGATTGAGGAATCCGAACTCTTGGTTTGTGTGAGAGAGAAACCGGAGCTCTTGGTTTATTTAAGGTGAGTCTACAAGATGAATTAAAACGAGTCGTTACTGATTGTCTTGTCTTGTTACGGTAACCGTAATAAGAACCAAAGTGGATCTCTGTCCTATTACAGTAACCGTTTAACTAGGGGCCAAGGCCTTGTTTGGTAGTGGGGATACGGCATATTGAAAGTAGATGAGAATGATTTTTCATTTTAAAGAAAGGTTATCTATCCAGTCCATGATTTTGGTGAGCATTCGAATCAATCGGTTTTCTTCATGAGTAATTAATCTCCGACCTTCAAGATTTTAGTCACAAATATGCGAAACGTGTAAGGTTCAGTGAACGATAAGACTATTACTAATTCAGACGTTAGCAACGCAAACGCGGGACAAACACAAACCAATTCAGCAAAAGACGGCATCGGTTAAGAAGATCACTTTTAATACATGACACTAACTTCAACGTCACAGATTTCACAGATGCAAATCACGATCGTTCAAGGTACGTCCTAATCTGAATCCGAATGTGTGTTCTATAGTACATCTAGTTCCTAACTTCCTGTCTCTGAAGAGACCACCGATACTCGACGACGGCGTCTGGAGCCTACAAAGACGCTTCCTTCAGAGCTCACCTGGAAATCACAACCATAGTTGGTACCTGACATGCAACTACTCAAATCAGCTGCTTATTAGGTAAAAAGTGCGGATAACAAGTATTTGACTGAACAAGTACAAATCATAAACCTTTATCTTCAGATGCTCTACACCAAGCACCCCATGATCTTTCCAGCAGGTCTTAAAATATAAACCAATCAACAACAGTAAGAAATAAAAATACCAGAATCACACAAAATCTAATCCTTCGTGAAAAGCGGAAAAAATTCCACTCATCCTTGTCGTAATTTAGTGAACGTAGAAGTTTTGAGCTCTATGCTTCCCCAACGCTGATTTGCGGTTTTTGGTAGCTATAGCATGCGTTCGACAGCAATCCATCTTTAGAACTGAAAACTATTAAAATTATTTTCATTTAGATTTTTTATTTTTTTTCCAGAGGTGCTCATCAACAAAGTCGCGTCACCTCAACTAAGATTTGCAGGCATGAGCACCACATCAAGTTCCTAAGATACAGTCCCCAGATCTCCGCAACAGCCAGATCTGGCAAGAAAGAAGGAAACCTTCATAAACAGGTTAGGATAACTGGCTAACCTGCTAAACCCTTTAACCCCTTTACACCATCGAAAACTTAGGACAACTGATTTTGTACACCGAGTTTGTTCTAAAGAATAAAAGAGATGGAAGATAACAACCTCGCACCCTTTTCCAAAATACAATGCTCGGAATTTTTTTTTTAAAGTAAAAGAGGTGGGAAACACTCGAATCCTGTAGAACAAATCTAAAGGATTTGATCATTTGAACTGTAGCACACATATGGGTAACTAGGCAACTAGATAGGAAACGTAAAGATACGGCTGGCCTGTATGCCAGAAACTTCCAAGATTGAGAACCCATCATGAACAAATTTAATTTGAAGTTTTCTTCACATGTATAAACACAATTACGCATCTGACCCACAATAAAGCAAAAGCTAAGCACTTGGCCATTATAGCAACACAACTACTAAGTTCAAAATCTAATAAACACAACGATCATACAATTTCAACAAAATAAAAGTACATAAAAGGAAAAAAGTACATGTTCCGAGCCGATGAATCTGGAAAAGAAAAGGACACAAGAACTTAATCAACTCACCACCACGGTCACGGAACACTTGTGAAAAACAGACATCGCCACCTCGAAGCATGTGATCCTGATCATCAAATACAAATAACTATAGTTAACAATCATATGATAAAAATATTTCAAGCATCTAGTCTTATAATATTTAATGCAATACCAGAAATCATATGTACGTGAAGAGCACACATTTACAGAATAAATGTAGGTTCTTACTTTCAGATCCTGCCACGAAACAGAAGGAGGCAATCCAGTGACCAGTACTGCACATGGGAGTGAAAATAATAAGTCCAATGAATTCAACTCCAAAAAGATGCAGCAAAAATTATTTTAACTCGCTACATACCACGATAGTCAGAGCGCCGGGAAACACCACGGCTACTGCTACTACGACTGTAACTTCTGTAGCGATCTGATGAGGAGTGTCGGCCACCATGCGCTAGTTCAACCTATAAGGCCAGATAAAAATATTAACACAAAGAGAGAATAAAGTAATATGCACTAAGTAGAAATGGTAGATAGAAGATGCAATCGAAGAAAGTATTGACTAACCCGTAAACGAACCCCATCAAAGTCATACCCATCCCGGCCGTAAATTGCATCATCAGCATCACGAGGATCTTCAAACTGCAATTAAGCATCGAATTTGAAAGCTTTACACAAATATCAAGCAACTTTTCAAACAAAAAAATAAACCCGTAGATGCAAATGAAATTTAAACTTACTTCAACAAAAGCATAACCTGGCGGTTTCCGAGGGATTTTGAGATCAATGTCAACAATTGGCCCATACTGCAATTTACATAGAACTATTAAAGGCAGATACAAACTAAAGAATTACATAACCATAAAAATAAAAATCCAAACTTTAATCTGTTCATAAAAAAAAAAAGGTTTATTTACCTTTAATTCAGAGATTGCCGGGGGGGGGGGATTATGGGTCAGTTATGGTCTGATAGAGTTGGGAGTTTTCTGAAGACTGGAGAGTTTTGAGAGCTTCTGGGAGAATCCGGATGCTCGTTGCATCCTCGTTGCTAAATCTATAAATAGTCGCTAAATCTATTAGAAAGTGACGGAATTCAGCAATAGTCGCTAAATCTATAAATAGTCTCCTTAACGACAAAAAATTATTTAAAAGTCGTCCCTTAAAAGTTTAATGACCAAAATTATTTATATTTTTTTATAAATTTTTATTTCTATAAATAGTCTTCTTAACGACAAATAATTATTTAAAGGTCGTCATAAAAAGCTTGACGACCAAAATCGTTTACATTTTCTTTTTCTCTTCTCCAAATTTTTATTTTTCTATAATATTTACAGCGGTATTTACTAAAAAGACAAGAAGTTGACCTTAGGATAGGAAAATAAATTTCATTATGACAGAAATATGAATAGTATTTTACAGTGTTTTTATTTAAGTTATGTAAAATTTTATTTTTTAAATTATTAACTTTTTAAAACACGTATCTTACTATTTATACAGTAATACGTGATGTTATACCGACCACGCTGAAAAATCACCCTAGGAAAGGAAACATATGAAAAATATGGGACATGTGTAATACCGCAGACCTCGCCCACCGATTCGCAGGCACACAAATTCGGTTTTATTTCCGCGTCCTCGTAAACCAAAAGCCGCCACCACAAGACCGCAACTTCAAAACCCGCTTCAATCATTCTCTCTTTGCAAAAGAAAAGAAGAAGACGTAAATATCTCTCAATAATGTCGGAATCCAAGAGCAAGGTCGATTCTCTCAGGGAATGGGTTGTCGAGCACAAGCTTCGATCCGTTGGTAAATTTCCCTGCTCTTTTGTTCTTCGATTTTTATTGGAAAACGCAAGATGTTTTTGTATTTTCTTTGGCTTAATCGCATTTAGGGATTAAATACGTGTTCTTAATTGAATTATTTGATTCGGGTTCCAGTTTTATGATCTGGGTTTTCAAATTTTGATCGATTTCGGCATCCGTCTGTATGATATTGGTGAAAAAAAATCTGTCCTTTGGCTTTAATTCCAAATTTCCAATGTAATTTATTGAGATTGTGGTTCTGGTTTTGACAAATTTGATTTTCCTTTCCATAACGCTTGCAGGTTGTCTATGGCTAAGTGGAATTGTGGGTTCGATAGCTTACAACTGGTCTCAGCCCGGCATGAAGACCAGTGTGAGGATCATTCACGCCAGGTAGTTTTCCAATTTGTGGATTCTTAATTTCTTTTTCGACCGATAGCTATGTGCAGATTTTGCTATTTTGTGAATATTTGCGTTTACTTAACGGGTTAGGACCGTGGACACCCATTGTTTTGACACACATTTTGACACATTGTTTTGATAAGCATGATCGTTGAGAGAACACCTAAAGATGGACAGTTTAGATTGTTGAAATACATTACGGGGTGTGCCTACAAAATGTGTCGAAAAATGGGTGTCTCTGGATCCTAACCCTTAATTTATAACTTTATGCGAAACAGGTAGGTCGATCTTTTCACTAAATGTTGTTGAGGCAAGAGTTTAGAGTTGCATACTCGTTTGAAGTCGAAAGAATATTTGACCCACGGGAGCTTGTGCACATTTCTGATGATTAAATGATACTATTTGTAGTTTGTAATGTGAATGTGTATGCCATCTTGTTTGGCATTCGTCTCTCTCTCTCTCTTTGAACTGGATGTTGTGATTGCTGATTATCTATGCCTCAAACATTGTCGGTTCCGGTATTCCCTACCCTGCCAGTGCTGTTTGTGTCTCTAAGTCCTGTCCATAGGCGGCCCCGGGTATGAAAGTTTATGCCTTGGTTAAGATTGCCATTCAATTATAAATTTTATTATGACTGGTATGATAGAATTAGTGATTTTCTCCTCCCAACAACGTCACTGGACGGAATCTGTAATTTATGTGAGAATGAATTCCGGCGGGCAGGTATTATGTTCCCGAATTTGACAAAAAACAATGTATTGACTATTGAGTGTAAAGTTTTCAGAGTCACTGAACTCTTGCTAATTTGATTGTGGAGGTCCAGATTGAATTCTCATTGTCAGTTATTCTGGTTATAACTTTTCTTCCCCATGTCGACCGGGAATTCTCCCCTAATTCTGGTTTGCATTCACATTGACTACTTGTGTTTTATTTCTGACTTCTTACTCCTCGATGTTTTTCAGGTTGCACGCACAGGCTCTGACGCTCGCCGCATTAGCCGGTGCAGCAGTGGTCGAGTACTATGACCACAAAAGTGGAGCAAAGCATGATAAATACGCGAAGTACTTCCCAATTGAGAACTTTAACAAGGATTAAGCAAGGCGTGTGACGACCCTTCATGGGGTAACTTCCAATCCCATGTAGCATGGCATGGCCTTGTGGAAGTTTTGCCAAAAAATAGTTGGAGGATAATAAAAACACTTATTTGAACAGCCTTTCTTCAACCATTTTTTTTTTTTTTTTGTAATAATTATTGGATTTAGTTGCCATTATTGTATAACTTTGTAATAATTCCGGCATCGGGATTTCCCTGCTGCTGATTTCCAAATATGCTGTAATTAGGGCCCTGGCTTCTCTGCCCTTCCACTTCTCATATACTCTCATCCCCTCCTATTTATGCGGTCACAGTTAAGTCACGTCAATATTTTATATTACTATTATTTTTTGTCTTATTATGGGTATAAAAAATCAATATAAAATGTCGACGCGGTTTAATCGTGACCTCACAAAATAGGAGAGGATGAAAGTGTATGAGAAGTGGGAGGGCAGAGAAGCCGGTTCCGTAATTAGGCCTCGGCCTTAGTTCATTTACTTTCTTGTTTATTCTGTTTCTTGCTGCACAATCTAAATATCTATTCTGAGCATGACTACTGTCGTTACGTGAATTGATCGTTTGTCGGTGACATGTAGCGAGAGGCCGTCGTAGGGGATTCCACCGTCGGTGGCAGGTTTTCAAGTCAATCGTGCAATGCTGTGTTTTTAACTATTTTTTATACAGCTAATTATGATTGGTGTGGATATTGTTCCCGTGGCATTCCTGTTGCACAGAATTCTTCTCTATAGCTATTGGTTTTGTGGAAGTATGCCCATAATCTTGAGATGTATGATGAACATGAAATTTTGAATATTATTTTGAAGAAAATCATAAACTCAAAACTGCACGAACTTTTGAATATTATTTTGAAGAAAAACATGAATTATCTTATCTTTTGTAAAAAAAAAAGGTTCCGAACAACACAAACGTGACCACACGCCAAGAAATTAATCAGAGTGGAAAACTAAAAAACAAAGTACTTTCTAATTAAAAATCAACAAACGACTAGCTAGCACTAAAGATTTGTCACAATACTACGGTTTGGTGGTATTTATTTTCGCTTAAACGTGAGAGGTCATAGGTTCGAATATCGTAAATGGCGAATTTGATACTAAATTTGGCTGCCCATTGTGTGGCTTAGCTGAACTTCTATTTCTCCTAGTACATCGATAAAAATATCAATGTACTAAAAAAAAAAAGCTAGCACTAAAGATTTAAACAAGAGATACAATGCTGACTCTTATAACTTGCTCTTGCAATCCACCAACTTTCCATCGATGCGCACTTTCTTGTAGTCTTCAAACCTTTCATCGACCCGCGCGTTCTCTTCTTGCACTCCACCGGCTTTCCGTCGGCCCGAAAAGCTCTCTTCTTCTTGTTGTAATTCACCCACATTCCATCGATCCAGTCCTTATGAAATCTCAGGATCCTCTTAGGGTACGCAATATGATCCGCAGTCGTTTCAAAGTACACCCAGTATTCGTCCTCCCCTCTCTTCTCAGTAACGGTACCTACCCACCAACCCTTGTTGTCCAACACATCGACCCTGTCAAGGACATCAAACCCTAAATCCGCTTTTTCTTGAGAAGGCTGAGGAGGAAGAGGCCGGACCTCGTCCGCCATGACAACACCTTCTAGAGGTTTGGACTCGTGGTGCTCCTCCACAAGGGTCTTGTACTGTAACACTAGTCCCCCGAGTTTGCAACTACCGTTGCTGCGTAGTACGAGCCGATAAATCCATATTCTTTGCTGGAGACTTCCACCTTGTCACCTTTTTGAAAAACCAGTTCTCAAGGAAAGTTAGCTATTTTCTCGCTCTCGTTACCTTCTTGAAAGCCCATTAGAGAGAGAGAGAGAGAGAGAGAGAGAGAGAGAGAGAGAGAGAGAGAGAGAGAGAGAGAGAGAGAGAGAGAGAGAGAGTAATAATGCAAGCGATTAGCAAAGTAACTCAATTAGTGAGAGCATAAGGCTATATATAGCAGAGGTTTAGGGTGGAGGCATTTGCTATTTATAATTGTTTTAGTAACTCAATTAAATTCCAACAGAAAATAAATAAATTAAATTTAGCCCAATACATTAAGCTCGAGTAATTATTAATAAATAGTTAGTAACTCAATTAAATAATCTACCTAGTACCTATACAATTAAAAATGTCAAACTCTCTTCTAAAATGCCAATGCTGTTATATATGCAACTATTTGGACACACAAAACTAACACATTTGTTGATATGATTTCTAATACAGGTGGAGTAAATACAATGATGGCACCCAACTCTATCGAGAGCATGTTCAAATTTACGTGTTCAAATAGTTTATTATTATATGCTGAAAAACAATAACTAGGAACTAGCGGTATCACTACTCTTGCTTTGAACAAAAAGATAAATCATTTGAACAAAATTTGATTAATTCTACTGATATCTTTTAACAAGCTAATTAGCTTAATGACGTGCAAAAGTGAGGAATTGTATTGCTAGCTAAAGCTTATTAAAAATGGATTGAATATTTTCTATCTATCTTCTGCTGCAATAGCAGCAGATATTTATATACATCATATTACACACGCATGCAATAAAGAAATATATTGGAAGATGCATCTTTGCTGTCCACAATGATGCAGTCCATGTGAAGACCCTTGCTGTCCACGATGCACTGTGAGTGGAGCATCTTCGACAGAAGAAAATGGCTCCCATTAGAATAAGCCATTAGAATAATCTTCTCATAATCTTTTCAACAGACTTCATCTAACAGCCCCCGCAAGCTAACAGGGGGTGGTACAACTGGGAGCTTGGAGATAAGGAACTGAAATCTGGACGAAGACAATCCTTTAATGAAAATGTCAGCAAGTTGGTCCTGGGAACACACATAATTAACCAACAACTGACCACGAACAACCTTCTCACGAACATAATGATAGTCAACCTCAAGATGCTTGGTTCTCGAATGAAAAACCGGATTGGACGCAAGGGCAATTGAAGAAACATTGTCACACCAAATGGTTGGTTGAACCAGATGGAGATGGAGATCTTTATAAAGAGACCTTAACCATGATAACTCTGCTGCAGTATAAGCTAACTGCCTATACTCTGCCTCTGCACTCGACCTCGATACTGTCTTTTGCTTTTTTGAACTCCAGGATACAAGGTTGGAACCCAAATAAACACAGAAACCACCTATGGAGTGACGAGTATCGGGGTTGCCAGCATAATCTGCATCAGAAAAAGCTGTCAACTTCGCAGTTCCTGATTTATACAATAGCCCATGATTATACGTAGCCTTCAGATACCGTAGGATTCTCTTTACAGCCATCCAGTGCGTTGTTTTTGGAGAGTGCATGAACTGGCACACTTGATTCACAGCGTATGATAAATCAGGCCGAGTTATCGTAAGATACTGTAGTGCTCCAACAACACTACGATACATCTCTGGATTGGCAAAAGGATCTCCAGCATAGGCACTCAACTTCTGACCAGACGGCACTGGAGTGGAAATGGGCTTTGCGTCTGTGAAGTTAGTTCGAGTCAGTAGGTCCAGAGCATATTTGGACTGACAGAGATGCATGAAATCACCATTATACTTGACCTCAATACCCAGGAAATAACTTAGTGGTCCCAAATCCTTCATTGAAAACAAACTACCAAGTTTCTTAATCAAATGATCCATCTGGCGAGGACTATTCCCTGTGAGGAGAATGTCATCGACATAGATTAAAAGAATGAGATATACACCCCGTTGATTAAACACAAACAAACTGTAATCACATGTGGACTCCTCAAAGCCCAGTTGAAGCAAGAAATCTGAGAAGCGTTGGAACCAAGCCCTAGGTGCTTGTTTTAAACCATAAATAGAACGTTGCAGCTTACAAACATGATTTGGAAATTGTTTGTCAATGAACCCTGATGGTTGCCGCATGTAAACATGTTCATTTAAGTAGCCATGCAAGAACGCATTTGATACATCCAGTTGGCGTACAGGCCACTTCTTTGACGCAGCAAGACTTAAGACAAAACGAATGGTGCTGTGTTTAACCACAGGACTGAAAGTCTCAGTGTAATCCACGCCAGCCTTCTGATGAAAACCATTAGCCACTAACCGAGCTTTATGACGCTCAACAGTGCCATCTGCTTTGTGCTTAATTTTGAACACCCATTTATTTGGCAGTATGTTCATGTCAGATTGATGTGGAACTAAACTCCACGTGCCACACCTTTGTAATGCATTAAATTCTTGCACCATAGCTTCCCTCCACTCATGATGCTTGACTGCCTGACTGAAGCAAGTTGGTTCAACAGGAATATCTTTAATGGTAACATGCATAGCATACTTGGGATTGGGTTTGACAACTCCAGACTTGGAATGTGTAGTCATAGAGTGGCCAGTATCACTAGACACATTAGCTGGCAAAGATGGTGAATTGACTAACACTTGCTCATGTGATTGTAGTGTGGGTCCTAAGGAATGGTTAGATGGTAATGGTATTGGGGGTGGAGATGTTAGATCAGGAGAGGAAGAGATATGTGGCGTGATGGAAGTATCAAGAGAGGACTGGGCACTATGGGTATTGGTTGTAGTAGGACACACGGGAACAGTTGAGGTTAAGGGAAAAGTAAATAATAATTGGGGTAAAAGATTGTTACCTTGTGATGCAACGCTTTCAGGAGGAGATGTGAGTCCCTTAAAAGGGAAAAAATCCTCATCGAATAGGACATGGCGAGACAAGTAAACTCGTCTTGTGGACAGATCCAAACATTTGTATCCTTGATGATCAAGAGAATACCCAAGAAAGACACATGACTTGGATTTTTGTTGTAATTTATTTTGATTATATGGTGTTAACCAAGGAAAACAACGACAACCAAAAACTTTGAACATGGCATAATTTGGTTTTCTTTGAAACAATTTCTCAAAAGGAGATATGTTTGATAGTACACGAGTTGGCAGACGGTTTATCAAGTATGTAGCAGTTAAGCATGCATCAAACCAAAACTTATTAGGCATATGAGATTGAGAAAGCATAACAATACTGGTTTCGACAATGTGTCGGTGTTTCCGTTTTGCCAATCCATTTTGTTCAGGATGTTTTGGACAAGAAAAACGTTGAGAAATTCCATGAACGCCAAGAAAATTTTGAAAGACATGACTTTTATATTCACCACCTTCATCACATTGAAAGGTTTTAATTGAACAATTAAACATCTTTTCAACCTTAACTTTAAACTTTACAAATATGTCAAAAACTTCAGATTTTTGTTTCATGGGAAAGATCCAAGAATATCGAGAATAATCATCCACAAACAACAGGTAATAACGAAAACCTTCATTAGAAATAATTGGAGAACACCACACATCAGAATGTAAAAGTTGCAAAGGAAATTGAGAGACAGACTCAGACTTACTGAAAGGTAACCTAGTACTCTTTCCTAAAGGACATGACTCACAAAAGATGACATTAGATGTACCATGAATTGGTACAAATTTATTTGAAATTAAAAACTTGATTATTGGTTTGGCAGGGTGACCAAGACGAGCATGCCACTTTTGAACAGACACCCTAACTCCCACAAACGCAGAAACTGGATACTTGAGTTGACCACTGCCATTTGGAAATGGGTATAACCCATTCTCACATCTCCCTCGGAAAAGCGTCTTCCGTGTCTTGAGGTCCTTAACAAGGAAAAAATGTGGAAAGATTAGTAAATAACAGTCATTGTCTAAGGTGAACCTATGGGCGGAGATGATATTGGTAGAAGCAGTAGGACAATGAAGGATATCTTGTAAAGCAAATGAGCAAGCAGTAGTATTAAGTTGAGTTGAACCACAATGTGCAATAGAAATTCCAGAAGTATTACCTATACCTCCCACACCATCTTTACCAGTATAGTCTTTAGGATTTACCAAATTCTGAAGGTCTGGAGTAATATGTGCGTTGGCACCTGTGTCGAGGAGCCAAGTTCCATTTTGCTGCTTGTTGATGGGGATGGTGGAGGACGTCATTGCCGAGAGACGTTGGGCAGGGATTCGGCCTTCAAAAGCAGTATTCATGCGGTGGTAGCAGTCAAGAGCGGGATGTCCAGGTTTGCCGCAGATTTGGCAAACAATGCGATCACCATATGAAGCAGATCTTTCAATATTACCTGAAGGATTGCGCTGATAATTATTATTGCGTGGGTTGTAGCTTCTTTGAGCACCACGAGTGGATGGAGAGGTGCCTCGTCCATTTCCACGAGAGTGGCAGTTAGAGAACCATTTATCCAACTGAGGATCATTTGATCCTGTTGTACCCAGGTAGTGTACGCTGGGTTCAGAGTGGTTGCACCAGTCACAATCTTTGGAGGACACACCAGCGTGCCATCAACATATCCCATCAGGTCCCTACTTTTTAGGATAGGGAGTATTTGAGCCAACCACAGTGGGTAGTTGGTTCTATCAAGTTTGATATTAACAACAGTGGAAAACGGATGAAAAGAGTTGTTCGGGAGGGTGGATGAACTAGCGGGAACATTGTTTTCAGCCATGGAAGCGAGGAGGGGAAGGATAGGAAACTAGGATCGTTGTCGTTAGACAAAAAAAGCTCTAGAAACCATATTAAAAATGGATTGAATATTTTCTATCTATCTTCTGTTGCAATAGCAGCAGATATTTATATACATCATATTACACACGCATGCAATAAAGAAATATATTGGAAGATGCATCTTTGCTGTCCACAATGATGCAGTCCATGTGAAGACCCTTGCTGTCCACGATGCACTGTGAGTGGAGCATCTTCGACAGAAGAAAATGGCTCCCATTAGAATAAGCCATTAGAATAATCTTCTCATAATCTTTTCAACAGACTTCATCTAACAAAGCTATCTTTGATCTCTAACCTTTTATCACCATTGACAGAAACTATACTATCGACACAAACAACAGCTTGAAAATCTCCTCGGGACACACCATGAACAGGAAGATACATAAGATTTTCGGTGTTGAAGTTGTAGCTGGCTAAGCGTCCATCTATGTCAACCAAAAGAACCTCGTCCCTCTTCCAAAGTATTAATGGAATATCTACCTCTTGATCCAGTTTGCGCACAACAGATAAATGTTTTGTCCAACCATCATCAAATTCATCCATCAACCAAATTTCAAAGGGTTCTTCATCTTCGCCATGGTAAAAGCCAAAAAGAGCAACAGATTCATTCCACACTGTAAGCGAGAACTCATGCGTCGGAAACTCGTAGAAACAATCCGGAAGTAATATATCATGAAAAACTTCATTAATTGCGTCGTAAGAAATGACCAATTGCCTCTTTTCCTCTTCAAGTCTGCCATAAAATGGCAGAAATTCCTTCTTTTCCTCATATCCCAACCCATAAAAAACTCCCTCGAAGTAGGTCGAGAAATTATCGTTACCCCAAAAATAAGTATTTTCTGTTTCCAAGTAGTCTGTCCCGATCTTTTTCCAAGAATTAGTACTCAATGTGTATATTTCTGCTTGGGGAGGATGAATAATGAGACGATCATCCTCTAATATTTCCTCACCATAAGATACGATGCTGATGAGTATGTAATCTTTACGTTTCGGATCATAGCCAAATCCCAACGTACACGAAAACGCATCTTCGAAGCATGACTCGGGAAGAACCCTAAATTCCTTGATTGCCGGATTGTATAAAACAAGTTTTCCGGTATAAAGATATAAACAAAAAATCCCATCACAATGACCTACAATACTCACAGATTCACCAAGTTCTTGGCCAGGGAGCTCAATAAATTGTCCCCTGCTTTTTAATCCCATAGAATGCGGAAAATGTAGGTCCTCAACAGTACAATTAGGGTTGTGATAAACATCGCTGTCTTTGTCATTGCGAAGACTTAGGAATGAAAACACGAGTTCCTCGTTGTTGAATTCGGTAGTGCTGAGGACAGAACGCTTGAAAAGGATGCAAGTGGAGGAGCTGGAGGGTTGGTCGTTGTATAAACGGAGGTGCTCAGCTACGAAATGGGGATTGTTAAAAAGGACATACCACGACTTACGGACACATTTGAATCGCATTAGGGATTTGGGAGGCAGCCTTGCTAGGATTTCCAACCCTATTTCGTCTGGGATGTTGCAGAAGTATGTCATTTCGGCTGCGATCCTCACCTTTCATGAGTAGCGATGGGCGGACAATGCCAGATGATAACAATGGTCAAATAATAGTTTCTTTAAAAAAATCAGATGACAAGGGATAAGGGATATTTCACAGAAGCAAAACTTTCCATCCCGAAGAACAAAAATATTCAAGCAAGTTCAAAGAACAATTTAGAAAACTTTTTTGAGCTAGGACTAAAAAGATAGTGAAAACATATCGTCGAAGTCATACCAAAGAATGTTGGGGCAACATACTTAAGGTCGAGAATGCAGGGGGGAGAGACAAAAAGATGTGCAATATTGATTGATATGCGGACTGGAGAGAGATTTACAGTTTTACTTGGCATGATGGTAAGGGAAGGGAAGGGAAGGGAAGAGAAGAGAAGTTTTCAGTTGGACATTCTTTATATAGTATGTTGCATTAGGTTAACAAACCTTTGCATAAACTCTGTGGCCCATATTACTACCTGTAATAACTTTTAATAACCACACCCTGATATTCATCAGTTTAAGTTTTCCCATGGTATACACGTATGCATATATATGTTATTCATCAGTTGAATACATGAATTTTTGCTTATTTCTTTTATACAAGCAATAGCAGGAGGGGAGAGTCGAATTAAGGATCTCGGATCCATATGCTCTTAACTAACAAACTATCTTAATCTGCATGATCAAACGACTAATTTATCTCCTAAATTAACTCAGGTAGCAGACATGAGTGTAATCCAACTTCATGCATGCAAAGCCGGCTATGAGGGTAGCCGAATTGATGATAGGGAATGCATGGGAACTAAAACAACAACAAAAAACTAAAACTAAAACCAAAAAAAACCTATTATCTACTGTACTTCATTATTTAACCATCTTACATATAAGCATGATGGGGAATAGTTCCTCGATTGATGAAGAGATTTTTCTAAAAAGCTACAGTATGGTATGACGCGGTCAAGAAAGATTGGAGCCTCTGAAACCATAAAATAGGAAAATCCTATGGGAAAAAAAAAGAGTAAAATTAATTTGCTTTTGCTTTTTCATCATGACATGTTTTGACCAAAAAAAATCACTATGACATGTGAATTATTGCAGACCAACCACTCATCTTTTGGTATATCTTACTCATGTATAGTGTTATTATTTCATTTTAATTGTAGTATGTTTGTATTATTTTTATATTCATACTAGCATATGTGCACACATAAAGTGTGTGAGAAATTTTTTTATTTTTGTTTTTGAAATAGAAGGAGAGAGGAAGAGAGTGATAGAGAATGTGGGAGTGGGAAGAAGTTGTTTTTTTTTTTTTTAATTAGAGATATGTTATGATTACATGTAAGTGAGATTTTGAAAAAAAAAAAGTAAAATTTGGTTGTATGAAATTACATTTCTACCCCATATTTCTTATTTATGTTTTTTTTAATTAGAGGGTTAAATTAGTAATTCTTAAAATTTTGGTTGACTATGAGTGTTTTATTAATTAGTAAAGATAAGTGAGACATATCAACAATATTACATTATATGTGAACATAGCGAATTTACTATAAGATCAGGGTGTGGTCCTGGGGCCACTGAAGATCGGCAAAAAATGATTAAGAAAGTTCTTCGGGGACTCGGCAGATGGTAATTGTTAGTTTGGTACAGGACCCAAAGAGTTCCCACAAAGTGTTCGAAGAAATGTTCGCTCGGCAACATGCGTTGACTACACTCGGCAATACACAACACTAGACAATATGTGTCGACAGAATTCGATGTGACTCACTCATCATTTGTCGACATTTGTTTATAAATACGCAGCATAGTCGACAAATGACTACATACAAAGTATTCAACAAAATACCTCACTTTAAGAAGTGAAAATATTTCCCACGTTGTACGCACTTTTTCCGTCTAAAAAAAAAGCTTCAATTATTTTACTGTAAAACCCTCCGAAGTTAAAATCATGAATTACTAGGTATGAAATGATATACCATGCGACACTTATTTTGCAACCGAATTTCTCCCAAAAACCAAGCATAAATAACCAAGCATGTACCATGATGATTGTTGTTTCTACAGGCTTTGATATTTGTGCGTTGCGTGTACAAACACTCCCACGTACAACATATTCCTTCTCGTCGTCTTTTCCCTCTCTCATGTTTAAAGCATTGCTTGCAATTTAAGGTTCGTTCATCAATATATATGGCAGGGCAGCACTGCATGTCTTTCTTTCTTGTCCCCTTTCCTCACTTCAATTTCCAACACTCCAAAACTCTACAAAAATCAAATCCAAACTCTTCATAAACTCTTTGACATCTCATAATTTAACGTTAACTTTTATGTTAAAATTATAAAATATTATGTTAAAAATATAAAATAGCAAAGAGTACTTTAATAGTCCCATTTTTAAGACTCTACTTAGCATTTCTCAAAATCAAAAGATTATATAAAGCACTTAAAAACGAGAAGATAAAAAAACCAGTCCCCCACTTTTTTAGGCAAAGTGCAAGTACTACCCTTTGCTCACAGTCCTATCTTTTTGACTGCCAAATTTACAAAACCTTACGCCATCTTTGTGTCAAAACTGGTCAGTCTCAGACGTGTGTGTTTGCTTCAACCTGTATAGTGTTTAATTAAGTTAGAATAGTGTGGTCAAAGGAAGAGAGGAGGACTTGGAAGGCCTTTTGCTGTTTGCATAATTTAGTATGGCGTGGTGAAGACTTTAAACAAACGACAAAATGGGACTAATGTAGTTTACTTCTCATAAAAAGTTAGTCCAACAATCATGCATATCACACAATTTTTTTATTGGCGTTGCAAATAGCAGAAATGATCACCTCCGCACCAAGGTTGTATGCATGGTTTGTGCGCCCATTTGACGACGCGACTTCACCATATTGACATTACAATAATGAGATACTATTTAAATATTATTAATATGGTCTAAATACATTGTCAATACTATATCTACCTGTGTCATACGCAAATCATGTGCACAAACCCACAAATTCAAGTGTGCGGATGAGCAAACCTCTTGCAAATAGTAGCACTAGAGACATTAATTTTTAGGATTTTAATTGATAGGACAATGTTCATTCGTTTTCTATTTAGATTGATTCACTATGGACGTTATTCACGTAGAAGTTGTCACTTCAGTAGTTTAACCAAAAATCAGTATAATAAGTGACGTCTAGTTTAAATTGTAATTTTGATGTGCCAATAAGCTCCTATATTCTAAGAAATAAAGCTTTTCAGAACCCTTCAACAATACTAGCTATTTTAGCTTCAGCTAAAATATTTTAATGTTATTATTTTCTAAACCTAACAATCCAAGCTCTTTTTCTTCTCTTGACGCCCCATAAACAATGCAATTTTATATTTATTAATGTTTAATTAGCAAAAAAATTAACTTTCTCTCAGCTAAATTTAGTAGTTACTGTACACAAAGTAAAATAGCTAGTCATTTAGCTAGCATGTTGGAACTTACTTTTTCTGCATTTTTTGTTAAATTGAGTAACCAAAAAGCCTCATCATTTAGCTAGATTGTTGAAGCTGCTTACTTGACAAGCATCCTGAGCCAATATAATCTTTAGTATATAGGATGCATGGTTCACAGTTTACAAGAAAATTGTTCTCCACTTAAAATTACATTTACCTACTAGAAATTTCTTGTCTCAAGCTGTTGTTTCGTCATAATATCCTTTTTTTTTCCTTTTGGGCGCAGTCACCCGGTGATGGTACCCGTTCTTACGTGACTTGCATCTTAAAAGTAAATGTTAAAACAAGTTCTTTTTAGCTAAACAAAACAAGAAAAAGGCTAATTGTGCTGAGGTGAGGTTATTATTGAAGCAGAAATGTATACAAGCTAGCGTTATAGGGAACTTAAAGAAAAAATTTAGGGCTTGAAATGGATACAACCGCCCATAAAATTGACAGCACCGCACGCCTCATCTGTGTCTTGTACATGCAGAATTCAGTGTCTTTGTGATCATGGTCACCGTCCCATATTTGACATCCTCATGCTCTGAGAGAGAGAGAGAGAGAGAGAGAGAGAGAGAGAGAGAGAGAGAGGGAGATCTACATAAGAACCAAAACATATATATGAGTCAGAGTCAGTAAATATTTCAAAGACACAAATGAAACGAACCATGTCGCGTGGCAGTGGAAATCCAAGACCAAAAAGAAAGTGCGAAGAGAAGATAATCGAAAGTTCTACGTTTACTTTCCTTAACTTTACTATCATACGTACGTACAGCGTTCACATGGCTGGTTGGTCGAGCTGAGCATGCAGAAATGAGTGAGGAAGAAGTGAGGTGAGAAACTTGTGTTGGAGAAGGGGAGCACGTGCAAAGCTTTGTTAAATCTTAAGCTAAGCTCCCAGGGAGGAAGTGCTTGAGCTAGAATTTGCACGTGCCCTGCTTCTCCAACAGGAGCTACTCACCCATGCACGATTACCCGCCATAACTCCCAAAGACCCCCATAACCCTAGAGCTACTCTCGACCCATCTGGTTTTGATTCAACCAAAAAGTGAATCAGAATGGTGAGGGAGCCCATGCATTTATAAACAAATTTCTCTAGGAGAGAGAAAGACTCGAACAGAAGTAGAGTAAAGACGTTGAGTCTTGGAGTGTCCATTCTTTAAATACCTCATTTGAATTCACAAGTAAAAGCAATGGATCGAAGTTTTGAATAATAAAAGGATTTCACCTGGTTTTATTTTTATAAAGAAAACTAATAAAAATGATTTGAAAATTTTGAGTTTTAACGATAAGAACAAAATAAAGGGTAAAGTAAATAGTATCATTATTAACTTTTTAGTATAAAAATATATTTTTTCGTTAAAATGAACAGGACCGAAAACTTTTCGTTGAAATTCGTTTCTTTAATTATTCAAAATAATATTACTCTTCTAAGCTACATTACAAATACAAAAGACAATTTGAAAACAGTGATTTAGAAAAGAACTTTATTCACCCCGAGCAATAATGCATCACTTGCAGCCACTTGAATTGTTTTAACTATTTAAAAAGAAGAAAAAGACTTGAAGGTGTTTAATGTACATATTTACTCAAAAACAGTGGACTCACACGTAGACATAGCTCTCTTCCCCTCCCTCACTAAAGTAACACACAGTAGATAAGGATTTTCTCTCCTCTCTTTTTCCCTCTCCTTCCTCTCCTCTCTCATCTCACAGTTTATTTCTTCTTTTTCCTATCTCTACAAAGATAAAATTTTGAGTGTTCAAATAGAAAGAGAGGACAAGAGAGAGAAAAAAAAAGGAAAGATAATCCTTATCCACACACTATTTACAAAAGTAGGTTTTCTTACAGAAAGAGATCATCTCCGGATCCCTTCCTCCTAATCCATTAAGTTCGGAGATCCGAACCATTGAAATTTGATCTAATGGCTAAAATTATTATAACTTTTAAAGTGAGCCCCTATTTGTAGTCGTTTGATCAAATTTCAATGGTCTAGATTCCTGAATCTGGTGGATTAGGAGGAAGGGATTCAGAGAGAGGATCCTTTTCCTTTTCTTACAACTTAATGAACAGAAGTTTGATGGCATGGCATTATAATAGATTTGACCCTGCGTATGATATTGGGAGCAGTACTATTCATTTTTAACGAAAATGATATTTTTACTCTAAAAAATCACTCTGATACTATTCACTTACATCACATTTTTGTCATTTTGATTAAAACTTTAAGTTTTCAAGTCTTTTTTCATTAGTTTTCCGTATGATATTGGCTCATGGGAAAAGGATCATCGTCAGATTCTTTTCCTGGAAATCCTAGGGATCCTGTGATTAGAATCGTTCATCATACATCGTGCAGTCAGTTTTTGTTAAGTACTATTTATATTTAATTTTAAATTTTAAAATGATGTTTGACCGCATGATGTACGATGAATGATCTTGATCACCGGATCCTTAGGATTCTCAAAAAAAGGATCCGTTCCGACTCAATGAATCTTAGGGAGGTGTATTCAATTAGGATTTTGAAGGATTTTAATTCTTTTAATGAATCTAGGGGTATTCCATTGGAATTTTAAGTGATTATCTAAAATTCAATGTGTATTCAATCAGGATTTTAAGATAGTTTATTAAAAAATTTAGAAATCTGGATGTATTCAATTAGAATTTAAAAAAAAATTTATAACATTTCAGGTGTATTCAATTAGAATTTGATTTTAAAGAATTTGAAAAAGTTGAGGAATTTGAGGGAATTTGAGAGATTTTGTAGTGTATTTTAAGCATATACAAATCACACATCTCTCCATGAGATTTCGAAGGAATTAAATTAAAATTTTACATGAAATCTCTACAAATCAATTAGACTCCATAAAAATCCGTTGAAATCTCTCGAATTCTACATTGAATATTCTTGCCCCTTTCATGATTACCTGTTTGATCAAGTCACCTTGAGATATTTTCAGTGAACAATGAACGTCACTTTGTGGGGGTGGTACGTACATCCTGCCGCCAATTTGCGAAATAGAGCTCCCTCCAACTAGAAAATCTTGGGTAAAATCTTGAGTAAAGTCGTCCGAACATGGTAATTGAAAACTCTCCCTCATAATTAGGCAGGACTTCATGTATTAAGGTCTCACTCGAATTCAAAATAGTTTTGTCTGCAATGCATGCATGGGCTTCACTTGGTTACGAGATTGCCATGCGGATGATGCGAGCAAGCACCCTACTTAACGCGTACACCTCCCCAAACGCTTTGTAATTAATTTGTATGTACTTTTTTTCTTTTTTTTTTTCCTTCAAAACCGTTGTTTGATGATTATAAATTTGGGTGCTTTTTGTTTGTGTAAATTCATCTACAAATTATTTTCTTGATCATTGGAATATCGTTACCAATTGACACTTTTGTATTGTTTGGAATTATAAATAAAATATCAAATATCGTTGCTTGTTATAGATTTGGGATGCTTCTTAGGTCCCACGATCCAATTCTGTGTACCAAAAAGATGTAAAATTTGCCTGAATTTTCATTGGCACGTTTGCAGATAATCTTCCCGGTACCATACTTGATGACATATTTGACCAAGCAATGACCTTGAATCCATGATTAGGATGAAGAGTGAAAGCTGGGTGAAAATGGTACACTGCATCTGCATGGCAAGACAAGGAGGATAGTGAGTGAATGACAACATGACACTGGCTGTTGAGGGTTTGCGTGTTGGGAGCAAAAGTATTTGATTCTTGTGTTGGTTTTGGGGAGAGCAGGGTGAGTCCCTAGGTGGATATGATTACCCTGTCTTTGCTAGGAGTAGCTCTCTTCGGAAATGGATTCTTTTTTTTTTTTTTTTTTAAGAAAAATTAATAAAAATGATTTGAAAATTTTGAGTTTTAACGATAAAGTCAATAAAAAATAAAGTGAATAATACCAGAATTGACTTTTTAGTATAAAAATATATGAATAGTACCATAATTAACTTTTTAAATAAAAATATAATTTTTTTGTTAGAATAAATAGTACTAGAAGCTTTTCGTTAAAGTTCTTTTTTTTTTCCACATCTTCTCTCGTTTTTTATTTCAACATTTAAGATTTCATCTTTGTAAAGAGAGTAAGAAAAAAGAAAAAAAACTGTAGAAGGAGGGGAGAGAGAGAGAAAGAATCTACCTTCAATTTTCCCCTCATCTCAAAGACTTCGAAAAATCCTTATATAAGCTTATAATGCTATGGGCTCATTTGAAAGAACTTATAAATGACTAAAAATGTTGTTTAAACCAATGTTCTAAAAGATGTTAGGCGTTTGTCGGAGGTGGATTGGGGAGGAGGCCTAGGCGGCTAGAAGAGGCATAGGCGAATTTAAGTAAATTTATTATATTTTATGTAAATAAATACCAGTTTATATATATATATATATATAATTTCATTATAAATTACAAAATCGAATAACATATATATTATGAAGTATTGAAACATAATGAAAACATGGGAACAAACATATAATATGTGTTCATTTTAGTGTTCAACAAATCACTTACAATTTATTGAAAAATTTAAAATACAAAATGAAAGTTATCTATTAACTGTCTAAGTGAGTCGTAACCTAAGTGGGTGCTTAGGTGGGTATGGGCAGGCTAGGTGGGTGCCTAAGCGGTCTTTTTTAATTTTCAAACGTCTAAGCATTAATTGGGACAGTTGGCCACCGTCTAGCGCCTGGACATAATTAAAAAAAAAAAAACAAATACGTGCTTTCCTCCTAGCTAATTGCCCTCACATTACAAATTTTCAATGCACTCTTCATTTATAAACATATCATTATAAATCAAGTAAATTTTTTTTTAGCACATCGATATTTTTACATTATGAGGAGTGGGAGTTCTGCTAAGTCAGATAGCTGATGATGAACTCCTAATTAAGCTCTTAGCATCAACTTTATGTTATGTTTAAGGATACAATTTGACGTGTAATCTTCACGACTTTCTTTTCATTTTTAGTTATTTCACCTCCAAGTTTACATTTCAATTTTTATTATCATACTTTTGAAAACACAAAATGTATGTGAAAGAAAGATTACGCATGTCATGTGTTTTATACCTTGATAAAACAATGAACTGCTTGCATTGTTCGAATTGATATGTTATGGTAACTAAATTAAACTCTCAATGATTGTTTACAAAAAACGATCGAGTCCCTTCGTTCTCGGAAAGAAGAGGTAATAAAGTCTCAGAGGCGAGTGGTATAACACCAATTCTTTGCTGTAAAATTATAACCAACACTGTCAAAAACATGCCCAAACTTCTTGTGAAACTTAAAGTGACGGGCAAAAGACCCACGCCTCCAACAATACTAATATTATCCCCACCTCTCAGGTGAGATCTAATTAGTAGGTCACACCTACAATCCGTTAGGTATAAAGTTTTATCATAAAATATCGGTACTAACTAAAATAAGATTAAAATATTTAAACTCTTATTTTCTCAGATCTACGTTGTGAGCTTCTCACCTAAAAATAAAAAAGTCCGAAGTCAAATATCCCGGTAAAAAATGGCCCAACAATTTTTGCCTTAATTTTCGAGAACTTTAACAAAATAACTCTTGGTATTGTTCAATTTAACGAAAAATCATATTTTTACATTAAAAAGTCAATAACATACTATTTACTTTATCATTTATTTAATCGTTATCGTTAAAACTTAAAGTTTTCAAACAATTTTCTTTTAATTTTCTCGATCTGTAATTTCTCTTCCCATCAGAAAATAGAAAACAAAGAAAGAAAAAGCGTACTAAACCTCTACTGCTTCGTTTTGGCCGATCAAAGTATCAAACCGTTTTCGAAAGTCCTGAACTTTGAGCACTTCAGTGGGTTCTGAATCTATCGCTTCAATCTTCCTTTGCGAGACATCCGATTTGGTAAGCGACTCACTTCTCTCTTGATCTTATTTTCGGAACCTAAATCTCTCAAACGGGCAGTCAAGGTTCTGTTTGGTTCCCCAGAAAATCCAGGAAAAATTGAAAATCGAAATCTATATATTTCTTCCCTTCAGTCTATTCAGCCCAACTCTCATTTTGTGCGAATTGTGATGGGAGAAATTGGTTTTTTCTTGGTTAAATTTCAGTACCCATTTCATTTTGGGTTTTATTTTAAATTCCTGGTTATTAAACAGAGATTAATATAATGTAAAGTGTCGTTCTTCGTGTACTAGGTGTTGCATTAGGAAGAACCCATGTCGTGAAACCGATTACTTTAAGCGCATTTCGTCTAAGTTTGGAGGTTAAGAAGTTGCACACCAATTGTTTGATAGAAGTTGCGAATGAAAAACCAATAGAACCAAACATTGAGCAATCAATTTCAATCGCTTCCTTCGAGCTTTTATGTCTCTTCCTTTGATCTGATACATGCCACGGTATGGTTTGAATCCTATACAATCATAGGGGTTCACATACTTTGTGTAGGTGTAGGTACCATAGAGGCATAGGGATAGAGAGTATATTCAGGTTGGAAAGTTTGAACCGAAGATCTTTTGGGAGTTTTGGTTTGATTTACCGAATTGTAGAGCCCGTGGAAATCGAGGGAAATCGAGGAATTCCCTTCAATCGCTACCTAAATTAGTAGCTTTGGTTTGTTTTTTGATGTTTTGCTGCATGATAGGAGTTATATATGATGGTAATACTGCATTGTTTCTTAATTTTTCTACTTCTAGTACTAGTCTAGTTCTAAATAAATCCGATGTTTTTGTTCGTGTTTCATTTTTCGAGTGCCTAATCGCGGTCCATAGATAGTCAAAATTTTCAGTTAAACATTTTTGATTGAAGTTCTGACTTATTTGCAAACAGAGATGGGTATTCCCCCGGTCAGGCCACCAAGTATCACAAAGTATCTAAAGCCGTATCTTCTGAAAATGCACTTTACAAACAAATACGTAAGTGCCCAGGTGATCCACACACCAACTGCCACTGTAGCCTCTTCTGCAAGCTCCCAGGAAAAGGCCTTGAGAGAAAGCATGGAGATACAGCGGGACGTTGCTGCTGCTGCAAAGATAGGGAAGATATTGGGGGAGCGTTTGCTGCTCAAAAACATTCCCGCTGTATCTGTCCACTTGAAGAAAGAACAGAAATATCACGGTAAGGTTAAAGCTGTCATTGACAGTGTGGTCGAAGCAGGTGTCAAACTACTCTAATGAATCGTTCGAGTTTGCTTACATTAAGGTAGTCAGTATCATGTCTTAATTCTGGATGGGTTGCTTACACTGGATGATGAACACTAGTGTAACTTTTGATTCTCGATGTAATGTTCTCGTTGGAGATTTTGATTTCGATAACATTATTCATCTGAATACACCTTATCAGTTGTGATCACGAGAGTCATTATATCATCAGCTTGGTTTTAGGGCGTATTCGGGGTTGAAATAGTTTTCGAGAAACAGAAAGCGATTCTGGTGTGTGACATAAATAACCAAAAGTGCTTATGTAACGGAGAAGCGCTAACAGAAGATAAAGCGTTTATGAGCAGAAGTGTAACTTATAGGATGTTTCATGGTTCTGAATTCTGATTGAAGAAAACTAACATGGATGAAGAAGAGATTGGACGGATTGAATTTGATTTTTATTTTGGTAGGAAGATTGGATCAAACAGCCCGGACCAAATCCAAGTGGCAGGCCCAGAAGCCAATGAGCGCAATCAGCAAACAAACCAAGTCCAATTGGATGGAGTGCGCAACCTGGCTCGATAACAGTATTTCAAACCTATCACACGTCAACATATGTTTTAACCTACGTGACATCTCGTGATTGGTTTATTTGATATCATCATCTTACCGTCCAAGTAGGATGTACCCTAACGAAACATGAGCAAATGTTAGAGTGAATGCTCTTATTAGATCATCTCTAATGGAGAACGCAAACGTGGAGTCAAACCTATTTTGATGAGCCATGCATACAAAACATACTCCGATGAAGTAAGCATAAGAATTGTCGTTAAACTGTAAGATGATTCTGAATTCATACCGAGTCAAACTTAATATAAATCCGGATAAAGTTGAGGGCATTCTAGTATCTTCACTCTCACTAACTCACGTGAGATAGCCGCCCTTAAAATCACCCATTAGCCTTGGGTCCGCGTCTGTCACATCGATCTTATCCCCAACTATGCGCTTCTCGATCTACACGCAACATCAGCACTCCCTCTCGATCCGACGAACGTTCCAGATCTCTCTGGATCTGAATACTTGTTCGACCTTTAACGCCCACGCCGCCGATAAATAACTACCCGATCTCCTCGTTTCACTCCCTCTCTAGTCTCCAGTCCAATCCCACTACCAAAGTCGTTAAAGTACGCCTGATCTGCTATCCTACGCCGATCCTTCAGGAACATGGGCCTACTTGATCAGCTTTGGGACGACACCCTCGCCGGGCCTCAGCCCGACAGCGGTCTTGGGAAACTTCGCAAGCACAAAACCTTCAGTTTCCGGTCCAGCTCCGCCACTGGTGCGTCGTCGTTTTAGTATTTTTCTGGCGGCGCGTGTTGGCACACGTGTTGAACGCAACTAACTGCTAAACCTTTACCAATTTTACGTTAAATTCTCCAGGAATAAAAGCTTTTAATCGAAAATCTCAGATCATTTGCAAATAGATCGAACGGTTGAAAATGAAATCGAAACATGAAAGTGTTGAGATCATGCGGCTGATATTAATTAGGGGTGGCAATCTTGTTGGAAGTTTAATTGTTTGTTTTGGTTTGGTTTGGTTGAATTAGGATCGTCAGATGGCGGAAGCGTAAGATCGTTGGGTGGGAATTCGCCGGAAGAGGCGAAAATTACGCGGAGTATTATGATAGTGAAGCCCCCAGGTTATGGGAGCGCTAACGGCGGATCAGCTCCGGTTTCGCCAGCTGGGGTTTCTTCTCCAATTTCGCCAGCTGGGTCTACGCCGCCGGTGTCCCCGTTTTCTGGTAAGCATTTGAAATGGCAGATATGCCTCTGCCTCATTGCATGTGGGACCAAGTTTCCACAAATGGTGGAGCCTCCACTCATCACTGATGTGTTTGGGAGACAAGGGTGTGGTAGTAATTTAACTTAATATCTATGTTCTAGAATTTGGTATAGATTTCTTTGTTAACTGACGTTTATGCCCTTGTTGACAATACCATCAAATCTTGAGGCTTATTTGATATCGTATCTGAATTTTTTATCATTTCTCTAAATATTTTTTAAGAATATTAATTAATAACAATTTTATTTAAGACTGAAAAACTTGATTGGTTTGTGATTTAAAATTTTTAAATCTTACGGTTTAAACTAAATAAAGAGATAAAAAAAAAGAGGGTAGCAGGAGAGGGAGAAAGAGAGGAGAGGGGGAAATAAAGTAAGATGATTGAAGAAAAGAAAAAGAAGAGAGAGAATCGGATGAGATAGAAAGAAAGAGGAGTGAGATAAAAAAAGAAGAGAATGAAGAGAACGGATTGAATGAGAGATGAAAAAGGTAAAAGAAAAAAAGGAGAGAAAGAAAAAATGAGAGATAGATTTGGAGTGAAAGAAAAGAAACGAATGAATTGTTTATAAACTCTAAAAACCTACTTTTTATGTTTTTAAAGAATAGACTATATTATTTAGTTAATCTTGAGTTCAGTTTTTGAAAATAGTCATACTAAACAAGTTTTTATGGCTTAAAACTTGAAAATTATTTTTTAGTTAAAAAAGTTGGATTCAAGTAGAGGACCAAACAAACCTTTACATTCTTAAGCCAGATTTTTTGTTGCCATTTTGTAACAATTATGAATAATGTAGTTAACAAGGTGCATAAAGAACTATTTTTTGTAATGAGTATGTTTTTGCGTACGTGTCAGGTTATAGTGATTCGTGTCTGATTGTTAGTGATTCTTAAGTGCATTGTAACGAGTCGAGCAGTGTTCCTAAGCAAATGTTGATAGTGTTGTATTGATGGTGGTTTTAGGTGGCAGGGAGTCATTCGGGCGGTTTCGAAGGAGGTCAGCGTCGGATGCATACGAGAAGGCGAGCGAGGTCGTTGGAGGAAGGAGCGCCCGTTCTCCTTGCGACGTGTGACATATGAAAACTGCGTTCTTGTCCAATCGAAATCATCCATGAGATGAAATGAACGTGTTTTCTGTGGACGGATCAGCCATGCATGGCCGGAGGGAAGAAGAAGCTGTTTAATTAGGGGTTTCCACGTGCTAATAATGTATTGATATAAGTAAGCATTTTGTATGCTAGGGTTTGGGTGTTGTTTGTTCTGGGTTGCAATCTAGTGAGTGCGCGACTATATAAATATAGTAGTAGTTGTTTGTAAGATGTGAGAATGCCGATGGATTTGGAGTTGGAGTTGCTATCTCTGCTGTTATCTGTAAATGTAAATTGAGTGTGCTTGGTTTTCCCTTGCAAGTTCCTGCTTTGGTGTTTGAATAAGAAAACTGTATTATATCTATAATCTGCTGCTTGTGTCAATATTACTCGTTTTAGACGGAAACCGTGCACGCCAAAAAAAAATTAAAAAAAAATTCAATAAGGAATTTTGTTGAGCGCGTAGTGGTGTATGCATTCATTCGACAAATGTCAAAGCAATTTGCCGAATGATGTTAAGATTTCATGTCAAATGTTGTGAACATGAGTGTCGTGTCATTTTTAAAAAGCATTTCATCATACGTTTGATGAGCACAAAAAGATTTTGTACTTACATCGTTTTATTTTATTTTTAACAAATGATATTAGTCGGTTAAATCTCATCATAAGTCAGCCATAATAATGTGGTTCAAATTTGTTTTTGGTAAGAATTGAACCTAAATTTTTTTATCTACAAGTTAAGAAAAATAACAATAGACCGTAGTACTAAATTGCGTACATATATACATCTTTCTTGGCATTCCAAGGGTCATTGGACCATTGGAGTTGAAGTGGAGGAGTGAAAAATATGAGAGTTGAAGTTGATGAATCCGGAACCTCGCCTGATCCTCTTTGTGAGGATCTTGGGGATCCTTGAATCGTGTCCGTTCATCGTACATCGTGCGGTCAGAAATCATTTTAAATATTTTTATTTAAAATTAAACACAAACCGTACCTAGCAAAAACTGACCACACGATGTACGATGAACGAACACGATTCACGGATTCCCAAGATCTTCACCAAAAGGATCCGAAGAGGATCCTGTTGGGAAGTTGACACTACACTTGTGGAGTGTCAATACTAAATATTTTATTATCCAATATTAAAACAGCAAGAAAAATAAAAAAAGTTTGGTTAAATATGCGAAAAAAAAAAGTTCGCTTAAAATGATGTATACCATTAAAATACAAGTTTTATACAAGATATAGCCGTTGAAAGATTCATTATATGCAAGATTTAACCATTTTTTTCGGTGCACTAAACGATACATAACATACGAATAAAAATTGAAAAGAAGAGAGATTAAAGAAAAATAAATGAGATAACGAGGGACAGTCAATCATGAAGACAAACGAGGAATGCTTGTAGATTAAGGTTAGGTTTTAACATCTGTTAGTTTCGTAGTTGCTGTCAATTATGTTTTGTTGAAACAAATGTAGTAAAAGTTCTTTTGCTAGAAAAATTGTCATCAAATTTTTGTTGAAGGTTACCTGAAAACCAAAGTAGAGTTGGTAAATGCAAACGAAACATTAACTTTTAACAATTTAAGTTGTAAATTTTTTATGTCTGATTGAAATTTAGGTGTGATTTGATTACACTTTTAAAAAGTGGAATTTGCACCTACTACGTAAACAGTTAATAAAGACTTACATAAGTCTCGAATCAGAAATCATTTATTCGTCCAAATATATCAAACAAATGATTCAACATGAAAGTGATCCCAACCTTCTTGGTGGGCCTAATTTGTAATTTACTAAAAAAATAAGGGCAATTTAATTAAAAAGGCTTCAACAATTTTTTTCTTAATCAAAAGCACTCAACAACTTATTTAATAGAAAGGACAAAATTATACACACTCAACTTTTAACAACAATAAGAACAAAAATATAAAGTATTAAATAGTGGTTTGATACTGATGTATTTTATATAGAAAAATGGGTATAAAAAAATTGAGCTAAAAAAAATGTTTGGTAAACATTCAAAAGTAGCTTATTTTTACAATTTTAGATAAAAATAAACTAAAAACGTGAAACAGCAAAAATGAATTTATTATCACAACATAACAGAAACAATTTTTGTTTTCAAAACACAATAATACTTAACCAACTCTAACTGGAAAACTTTACAACTGTGCACGCAAAGAGCGTAAAGGGAGGGCCCCATCCCATGTGCCCCTTTGTATACTTTTATAAGTATTCATCTCTCACTCATTAATATTCCCAAAGAGGTGGCAGACAATCTGCCTCCCTTGATCAATTGTCTTCCCTTACAAGCAGAGATGACGTTGTTCATATTAAGATTGCAAATATATGAATATCTTTCTTTAAATTATAGCTTTTTTTTTGTTTTTTTTTTATAAATAAAATATGTGCGTATCATGTGCCCCATTTTCCACTTTCGTTCATCTCTCACTCGTTTGTTTTCGAGCCTTTGAAACGTTGTGCATGTAGCCAAAAGCTAATTCAAGGTAATGGATATTGCCACTGCTGCTTCTTCCCAATGGACATGTAGACATTATACATGCATTTTGTAACATATTTACGAAACTGTGAAAGCAAAATATAATTATGAGGACAATATTTGTGTACTCACTAATGAGAAAAAAGATTATATTCGGATCTTCTTTGTGGGGATCGGGGAATTCATCAATCACGATCATCATCGTACATCGTGCGTTTAAAAATCATTTTAAATTTTAAACTTAAAATTAAATATAGATAATATCGAACAAAAACTAATTGCACGATGTACGATGAACAATCGTGATTGATGGATCTTCGGATCTCCACAAAGAAAATCTTAAGAGGATCCTTTTCCACTAAGGAGTACTCACCTCTTAATTTTGTCCAATGATAAATTAACACATGTTTTATTCTTGTATAATATAATGTACATGTCATTAATTTTTCTTAGGCTTTTAAAACAAAAAACACTTGTCAACTGGGTGAGTACATAAAATACTTACTAGGGAATATTTAAGTATTATTCAAATTATTTTTGGAAAGAACTTGGGTGCTGAAGAATTCAGCAGCTGGTCCTACTTACAAACAATCCGGAATGGACACGTGTCTAATTTTTTGATTAAAAAATCAAAACTTGGACACGTGTCCATCCTAAATTGGTTGTAAGCAGGACCGGCTGCTGAATTTACAGCAGCCAAGTTGTGTTCATTATTTTTTAAGTATGCGAAAGTGACTAATCCTTGTCTTTCCATATTTTCAATTTTTGTCCTTCTGAAACGTTTGTAACCTTGTGCACATACCTAATAGAGAGATGAAGTTGATTGCCTTGATTCAAGTTTTCAACATCATCATCATCGCCATCGGGACTCTGTTGTACATGTGTTGCAAATCATTTTCTTCTTCGTCTCCTGCGGCTGATTCTGCTGCTGTTAAGGATGATGATGATGATGCTGATAACCCCCCACATCGAGAAAAGTACGATGTGTTTATCAATTTCAGAGGTGGGGACACCTGCCTTGGTATTACCAGCCATCCTTGGTATTACCAGCCATCTTCATGCTGCCTTACTTCATAAGAAAGTTGAAACCTACATCGATAATAGACTTCAGAGAGGAGAAGAAATCGAACCTGCCCTTCTAGAAGCAATCGAGAAATCCACCATCTCGGCGATCATTTTCTAGCAAAACTATGCTTCTTCCACATGGTGTTTGGATGAGCTTGTGCATATACTAAAATGCAACAACAGAGAAGGCCGGATGGTTATACCCGTATTCTACGACATCGATCCATCTAATGTACGAAAACAACACGGGAGTTATGCATATGTATTTGCTCAACTTGAAAAACGATTCACTAACAGTATCGACAAGGTGCACAAGTGAAGGGATGCTTTGACGACTGCAGCCAATCTATCTGGGTTTGATCATTCAAAAAAATCCGGGTTGTTGATGCACAAAATCAGTGAGAACTTTGGTACAATAGAAAGTGTCAAGTTTGTGACCTTTGCTAGATTGATTCGGTCACTAGTGTGGATAAATATGTAAATGGATAGAGACAGGGAAGCAAACACAAGATGTACGTGGTTCACCCAGATTGGCTACGTCCACGGAGTAGAGGAGTTCTCGTTAATTGTGAAGGGTTTACACAAGTACATAGGTTCAAGCTCTCCTTTAGTGAGTACTAGTGAATGATTTAGTACAAATGACATTAGGAAATATTATGGGAGAATGATCTCCTTTTATAGAAGAGAGTTTCTAGCTTTGTTCTGACATTAACACGTGTTGTGTTGTGATTAGCTTCTGATGTTAACACGTGTCGCGCTATAATTAGCTTCTAATGTCGACGCGTGTCACGCTGTGATTGGCCTCCTGGTTGGAAGGAAACTCTCGGTATAACGTTGATTGGTGATCGGTAGTTTCGTGATTGGTCAAGTATGGTACAAACAATACTCCCCTAAGTTCCCGAGTGAGGGAAGCTCCTCGGTTGGGGACTTGTAAGATCCAAGCTGCTGAGTAATCATGAAACTTCTAAGTACCGAAATGTGGTATCGTTTTCACTTGCCTTATCTGTCTCGTAGGTAGATATGGTATCTTATCTGGAAGTACTTTTCATCCATCCAGGTGTGGTATCATTAACCGGTGAAGATGCACAAGGTAATGTATCAATTTCACTTGAAGCTTACTTGTAGTTTAAGGCTTGGTCAAGCGCGATACAAACTATGTAGTAGGAGTCCCCCAAGTCGCCAAACTAGGAGATATGCCGAAAGAGGTGATAGACAAGGTAAGCAATTAGAGTTCCAAGTAATCAGTCCCATATCAGAAGTTTGATTTCAAGTTCCGGCTGATTGTTCTCATTCTCCTTATCTTGTAGGTAGCAAGAAGGATAAAGAGAAGAAAAAGGAGAAGAGATGATATGAGATACTTTTGCTTTTGAAGAAGTAACTTTCCACTGACTTATTCTTGAACTGTGCTGGAGGGTTTTCTGGTTTCCTCTAGAGTATAAGGCCGACTCAAGAATTTGAGAGTAAAAACAAGTCCATCAAATCAAGGGTGCGCTCGACCTTGATGATATGGGATACTTTTGTTGTTGACAAAGTAATAGATGAATCGATATGTGTTCTGTTGCGCTTGTCTCCACATGCTTTCTTGTATTCTTCTCACTTGCTCTATCTATTCCTTAGGCAGATGTGGTATCTTTTCTAGAAGCACAAGATGTTGAAGATGAGTACTCGAGAGTAATGCTAGGTAAGTAATCAGGCAAGGGGTTCCAGGTAGTCAGTTCCTGACTGGAAGCTTAATTCCAAGTGCTGACTGATTGTTCTATTTCTCCTTGTCTTGCAGGTAAGAACAAGGGTAAAAGAAAAGACAGGGAAAAAGTATGATATGAGATACTCTTGCTTTTAACCTTAATGATATGAGATATTTTTGTTCTGGTGTAGCTTGTTTGCAGAGGTATTATAGGGGGAAAAAGAAGCTGAGTATTTTCGAGAGACTCTACTTAGAGTGCCCTCTCGGATGTGAAGAAAAGTTTAGCATTTTTTATTTATTTGCAGGTCTGCCTGGCTGTGGATGATGGAGGTCGAAATATATAGGAATTGTCCCAACAACGAGTAGTAACGCTGTTCCTTTACCCTTTTCGGTCATAGCAATGTAGTGGGAGCTGCAAGATTCACGTGTTTTAACTTTGTCAGAGCACTTTGAAAAAGTGGTCTGCGGTATCTGGAAAGTTGATGTTACGTGTGAAGATTGCAAATAAATTTTATCCAAGGAAATCTGGCTCTCGAAGTTCGTAGAGCGGTGCCTTTTCGATTTTCGAACAAGCAATCATTTTAGGGATCTGGCTTTCAAGATTTGGAGAGTGTTGCCTCTTCAATTTTTGAACAAGCAATCCTATTGGGGATCTGGCTCTTGAGATTTAGATAGTGGTGCCTCTTCGATTTTCGAGAAAGCAATCCTGTTGTGAGTCTGACTTTCGAGATTCGGATAGCGGTGCCTCTTCGATTTTTGAGAAAGCAATCCTGGTGAGAGTCTGGCTCTCGAGATTCGAAGAGCGGTGCCTTTTCAATTTTTGAGAAAGCAATCCTAGTGGGAGTCTGGCTCTCGAGATTTGGAGAGCGGTGCTTCTTCGATTTTTGAGCAAGTAATCATGTTGTGAGTGTTTTCTCAATGTGAGTAAAGGTTAGACATTTTTGCCAGTCTGCCTTGCCACGGAGCACAGAGGCTGACACACATAGGGATTTTCCAGTTATCAAGCAGTGGTGTTGTTCCTTTACCTTTGTGGGTAATGGTAGGGTAACTGGACCTTCAAAATTTATGTGTCTAAACTTTGTTAGAGATCTTTGGCAAAGTTATATGTGGTACCCGATGAGCTAATGTTGCGTGTGGAGATTGTCGACAGATTTTACTTAGGAAAATTTGTTTCTCGAAATCAGGAGAGTGGTACCTCTTCGATTTTTGAACCAACGGCCATGTTGCCCTTTCTTTTATAGGGCACCAATTGTGTGCAAGAAGTACGTTCAGAGAATTATTGCTTGTAGGAATTTTCCCCTTATATTTGTACTTCAGAGATTTATTGGACCTCATTTCTCATTCATCATTTCTGAGAATGTCTGGCCCATCCGACCATCGTTTTGATTTGAACTTTGGTGAAGAGACAATCATGCCTCCTCAAGATAACATATGACGTCCATCTTTCTTATCCCTTATCGGTCCTCTTACCTTTGGGGACTCTATGATGAAGAATGATATGACCGCTGCGGTGGTGGCTAGGAACCTTCTCACTCCCAAAGATAACAGACTACTTTCCAAACAGTCTGATGAGTTGGCTGTTAAGGATTATCTGGCTCTCAATGTTCAGTGTGCAGGTTCTGTGTCTAATATGGCACAACGCATATTTGCTAAACCCGCCAAGTTGAATCATTGGCGGCTGAAGTGATAAGTCTCAAACAGGAGATCAGAAGGCTCAAGCATGAGAATAAACAGTTGCACAGGCTCGCACATGACTATGCTACAAACATGAAGAGGAAGCTCGACCAACTGTAGGAATCTGATTGTTAGATTTTACTTAATCATCAGAGGTTTGTGAGTTTGTTCCAAAGACATTATTGCCTTCGTCTTCTGGGGTTGTACCGCGTAATGAAACTCTAAATGATCAACCTTCGGTGCCTCCTCCTTCTGGGGTTCTGCCCAGTACTGAGACTCCAAATGATCACCCTTCAGTGCCTCCTCTTTCTGGGGCTCTGCCTACTGCTGAGACTTTTCCTGAGCAACTTTTGTGAAGACTCCATCTTATTTGTTTATTTTGATTCATGTATATATATATATTTGTAACTTATCGGAGATATCAATAAATAAACTTTGCTTCATTTCAACGTATTGTGTTAAATACACCAAGGCCTTCTTCACTAAGTTCTTTGAATTTTTTCTTTTGTTGAAGCTTGTATGTTGAAGCTTTGTGAGTGAAGCATGTAGGTTGAGGTAGTGCTCCCTTAATTTCCCGAGTGAGAAAAATTTCTCGGTTGGAGACTTGAACCTTCCAAGTACCGAGGTGTAGTAGCATATGGTAGGAGTCCCCCAAGTCTCCGGTCGAGGGAGTTGACGATGAGGTGTCTTGCTAGTAGCCAAATTTCCAAAGTAACAAAACTTCACCGTTTTCCTTTCTAAGTGGTAGCCCAAAGCTCATCCTTCATATATATTTGTTATGAAAGTTGTTAGGCCTAAAGAAGATGAGGCCTAGGCTTTTTTTTTTTTTTTTTTTTTTTAATTTTCAATTTTTTTTTTCGAATTTCCTAATTTTCAAATTTTTGAATTTCCGAAAGAAAATATATATATATATATATATTTAAGCTTTATAGGTGAAGCTTTGTAGGTGAAGCTTTGTTGGGTATCATGAAATGATTTTGCTTCACACTATCTTGATCAAAGGTGTGTGAAGCTTTTGGCATTTGTAGTTGAAGCTTTGTAGGTGAAACTTTTGTGTTGAAGCTTTTAGGTGAAGCTTTGGAGTTGAAGCTTATGTAGGTGAAGCTTTAGAGTTGAAGCTTTGTGGGTGAAGCTTTGGAGTTGAAGCTTTGTAGGTGAAGCTTTGTAGGTGAAGCTTTGGAGTTGAAGCTTTGTGGGTGAAGCTTTGGAGTTGAAGCTTTATGGGTGAAGCTTTGGAGTTGAATCTTTGTAGGTGAAGCTTTTGTGTTGAAACTTTATAGGTGAAGCTTTTATGTTGAAGCTTTGTAGATGAAGCTTTGGAGTTGAAGCTTTTGTAGGTGAAAATTTGGAGTTGAAGCTTTTGTAGGTGAAGCTTTGGAGTTGAAGCTTTGGAGTTGAAGCTTTGTGGGTGAAGCTTTGAAGTTGAAGCTTTGTGGGTGAAGCTTTGGAGTTGAAGCTTTTGTAAGTGAAGCTTTGGAGTTGAAGCTTTTGTAAGTGAAGCTTTGGAGTTGAAGCTTTGGAGTTGAAGCTTTGTAGGTGAAGCTTTTATGTTGAAGCTTTATAGGTGAAGCTTTGGTGTTAAAGCTTTTGTTGGCACCATAAATTGGTTTTGCTTCACACTGTCTTAATGAAGAGTGTGTGAAGCTTTTGAGAATTATGGTTAAACTCCTTTGATGAAGCTCTTGTTGGCACGATAAATTGGTTTTGCTTCATAGTGTCTTGATAAGGAATGTGTGAAGCTTTTGAGAATTGTGGTTGCCCTCCATTGATGAAGCTCTTATTGGCACCACAAATTCATTCAATTTTTTTCTTTTCTTTTTTAGAAAAAAAAAATTACAAACTTCATATGATAACAGAACAAAGTAAAACTAATTTATAATAAAGAAGTGAGATTTTAAAAAATGAATTTGATTGAATATTTATTGTGTTAGGAGTGTTTGGAATATGAACAAATGTTTGTTTATTTAGACAAGTAGAGGAGGATACAATTACGTTGGATATTTGACTAGACTAAGACACATGTGCATCATTACCATGACAAATACTCTTTGTTCCAAATGTGTGTTGCATTTGAACATATTGAAAACATATGTATTCACATTTAAACTTTCTTCTAATTGTTAGGAAACTCCAAATGTTAAAGCCATAGAGGTTGATTGGTATAATCTTGAAGAGCGACCATTGAAACATGCAGACTTCAAAAAGATGTCTAACCTAATAATTCTAAGCTCGTGTGGTCAATTGACCGCTCCTCTAGACCTTCCCGATTCTTTTCGTTATCTTTACTGGGTTTATTATTCGCTGGAATCTTTGCCGTCAACTTTTTCTTCGGAAAATCTAGTTGAGCTTCACATGCCCAATATCAAAGTTAAGAATCTTTGGAAAGAAAACTAGGTATATTATATTATATGTCTATTTTAATTCTTGTATAAAATCAAGTGTAGAAATTATATTAATTCTTTATATTTCTATTTCATTTGTTGCAGATGCTTGTCAACTTACAAGTTATCGATCTGTCGCACTCTCATTATCTAACTGAAGTTCCAAATCTCTCTGGGAGTCTAAAAATTGTGCACATAAATCTCTGTGGCTGTCCATGTTTGGTTGAAATTCCATGGTATTTTCAACATCTCCACAAGCTTACTCGTCTTGGTCTTGCAGCTTGCTGGAGTCTCAAGTATCTTCCAGAAATGCCAGGAAGTATTAAATACTTAGATTTACAAGACACTGGTATAAAGGAGTTGCCTGAATCAGTTTGGCCTAACGAAAATATTTCTTACTTGAATATACGTTATTGCAAAGACCTTGATAAACTTCCAAGCAACATGTGTAAACTGAAAGTCTCTGATTGTTTTAATCTAGATGGCTGCACATCTCGTGGCGAGTTTTCTGAGCTTCCCAAGGATATAACTACATTATCATTGGTTGATTGCAAGAGACTTGTGAGTCTACCAACCTACATTTGTAAGTTGAAATATTTGGAGGAACTCAATCTATCTAGCTACTCCAAACTTGAAAACTTCCCAGAGATCTTGGAGCCAATGGAACATTTAAAGTGCTTAAATTTAAGTGGAACAGTGGTAAAAGAGCTACACTCATCAATCGAGTTTCTCCCTTCTCTCAAAAGACTTGAACTAGAAGGTTGCAAACGGCTTTCAAGTATCCCAAAGAGCATTTGTAAGTTGAAATATCTCAAAAAACTCGATCTCTCTGGGTGCCCTGAACTTGAAAACTTCTAAGAGATCTTAGAGCTAATGGAACATTTGAAGTTCTTATATTTAAGTGGAACAACGGTTAAAGAGCTACCCTCATTAATCGAGTTTCCCCCTGCGCTCAAACATAATAAACCACAAGGTTGCAAAAGGCTTTCAAGTATCCCAGGTAACATCTGCAAGTTGAAATATATTGAGAGACTTGATCTCAAAGATTGCTCTAGATTTTCCAAATTCCCTGAAATCTTGAAGCCAATGGAACTTTTGGTGTCTCTTAGTTTGAATAGGACAACTATCGAAATGCTTCCTTCGTCTATTGAAAACCTAATTAGTCTTCAAACTTTAGACCTTAGTGGCTGCAAGCACCTTAAGGATGTCCCTGATGGTCTCGTTTGCTCAACCTCATTGCAAGAATTATATCTGAGTGGAACCAAGGTTAGGAGCATACCTGCAAGCATCAAACAAGCTTCTCGGTAGTCTAAACTCGGCTTAGTCGGCTGCAAGCAGCTTCAATCTTTACCAGAGCTCCCAGTGCTATGTAATGTTGAAGCTGAAGGCTGCACGTCGCTGAAGACAGTGTCAAGTACAAGGACAACACTCACACAAGGTTGGGTTCAACATGATCGTTTTTGCAAACGTTTTATTAATTGCCCAAAATTGGATAATAATGCAAGAAGCAACATAATGGAAGAAGCACAGATTAGAATTATGCGAGAGGCAAACTAGTGCTCCATCAAAGCACACTCCTTGGCATCAAATTAATGTTGTATGCGAGAGGCAGCTATGAACTACTATTACGACCAACATCACGTGTATGTGTGGAATGAGGCCTTTAGAATTGAAGAGGTAGAAGAAGAATGCTCCCCTAATGTTTACAGACTTGCCAATGGGGCCTCTGTTGACTTCTGCCTGGAGGTTGTGTCGGATGAAGACAACACGTCGGATGAAGACAACCGACGCGTTGTCGATATGAAGGCGGAAAGTTGTGGTATATGCCTGTTGTATGCCGAAGATGCTGAGAAATTCAAATTTGATCGTGTCTTCATGTCGAGAGAACCAAAAGTAGAAGAAGAAACTAGACAAGATGACGATTCCAAAGGTGGTCGATCAAGTTACGAGTCTGAAGCTAGTGTATCAACTTATGGGTGTTATGGGTCTAAGTACGAGTTTGGTACTGCTTAAATTTTTTTAAAAGTAGGGATGAAAAAAAGTTGAGCTCAATATTGTGTTTGGTAACTTAGTAACAAAGCACTTATTTTCAAAATTGCTACAAAAAACAGCTGAAAAGTGGAAGCAACTATTTGCTGCTTTCAAAAACCAGCTTTTTATCTTAAAAACACAGGTGAACAGAAATGTTTAATGAAAGTTTGCAAATGCCGATTCTACCCTTAACTCTCGCGTCGTCCTCTTCCTTGCTCTAGCATCTCAATGGTTCTCTCCCTCCCGTCTCACTTGTTCACTCCCAACTCGTCGCCCCAAACCCAATCCCTAACATGAAACTTCATTCCCGGCTCAAGCCTCCACCTCCTACCACATCAAAACTCCTATATAATTTGATTCTAACCCCTTTTTGAACCCCGACCTACCCTCTTGACCCGACCTACCCAGAATCCAATTCGATAAATTCAAGCTAAAAATTGATATATTTTAAATACCCACAACTGAACTTATCTAAATTTTAACGAATGTGCCGAGAAAGAGCTACAGAAATGAAGAATTTGAATTAGGTTTCTTTTTTTGTATTACACAGAAGTAGGGAAATGATAAAGGGTTGGTAAAAACTTGAATTCGGTTCAGTGTGTTGCAGAGAGGAGAGAGATAGTGGATGGGTAGAGACAGGGATGGATGGTTTCTTGGGAGAGACATGTAATGATGGAGGAATTGGGGTTGGAGTGGCATGACCTCTCCATCCCACCGATACCCTGGTGCGAATGCAACCTCACCCAAAACCCAATTTTTAGTTAGGGAATTCGCCAATTCTATACTGCGGATAGAGGGAACGAAGACTTAACATTCTGGTTAAATGAAAGATGCCATTTTTTTTTTTGGTAAATGAAGATGAAGTATACGCTACATACGAAGGTATTTTGAACGTGATTGTCATTTTGATGATCTCATAAACTTTTGTGAAGAGAGCGATAATAGTGATGATGACGAAGAATACCAAAATTATCAAGTTGAAAAATCACATGAGATAGAAACATTAAGAAATAGAATAATAGCAAGTTTAATGAATGCATCTAATTAGACTACTTTTAAGTACATTAACAATATTGTACTAATGAATCCTAGCTATTTAGTCTAAAATATTTCAATGGAAGTAGTTTGTCATACTAACTAATATTTAAGATAAAGTTTATAAATATTTTTCTTTTACAAAGAAAGTATATTTAGTAATTCACATTTATTTGTTAAGAAAATTAAATTTATGGCACATCTAGTATTATACTCTTATTTGTCATTTCATACAGTCACAGCTGTTTTGCTTAAAATTATACCAAACACTATAATATTATTATTATTTTTTTTTCCAAAAACACTTTTACAAAAAAAATTACCAAATACTATATTGCTTTATATCACAACTGCTTATTCTCACAATATAGCAGGAATTTTTTTCTTCAAAGCATAACAATACCAAACCAGTCCTAAATATTCTCTTGACAACTAAAGCTCGCATATTACAAGTGAATCCCTGATAGATGACGCGCGTATACCACGCGCTAGTCAACTATCTCTCTTTCACCCGTCCCATCATCTCTCGCTCACACATTGTCCCCACCCCTCTACTAGGAATGGGCAACGGTTATGGTGGACGGGTAACCGCGATTATTTACCCATAACCGTTTATGCTCATACCCGCATAACCGTTTACCCGTTGGGTAATTGCCTAAACGGTTATACCTATACCCATAACCGCATACCCATTTAACCGTAACCGTTTAATACCCGTTTACCCATTTATCCTTTTTAACCCGTTTATTTTTTTTACCATTACCCCTTTTTCACCGGTCTACATGTTTTTTAACAACTTTAAAATTAAAAAAATTTGTCATAATTTTCTTTTTTTTTACAATGAAACACCGTTATAGGTACATTCATCATACATTTCCATATTTTAATTTTTTTAAGTCCTTATACCATTTCAATAATTGAAATAACAGTTTACGGATGATATTTTTAACTGTTACCAATGAAGGTAAATATAATATTTGCTAAGTATTATTGGGTTACAAAAATTGTTTAGAAGACATTTATGTCAAAGCATTTCTGTCAATTTCATGATTACATGCAAGGAATTTAAATTAATTTGGTCAATTCCTTTATGATGAGAATCATCATTCCTGTAGCAGTGTTATTAAGAGAATGACCGATGAATTCCTTGCTAATTTATTGGGTGCTAAGTATTATTGGATCGAGAACATGGTTTGTGTTAGTTTTACATATATAAAATAAATAGGTAAATGGTTACCCATTTATAACCGCGGTTAATACCCATAACCGCCCATTTAAATTTCGCGAGTAAATGGTTATACCTGTAGACATCGAAATTTCGGAAAATAAATGTTGACCGATAAATCAAAGTGTCAACGCTCATGTATTACATAAAGTTTACACGTAGCGTGTGACTCAACGAAAATTGAAATGGGTTGGAAAAGTCATCAAATAGGACACGTGTCAACACCTGGCAGAAACGACTTATTTCATCTGGGATATTATATTCAAAATTAGGCATTGGAAAATTCTATAAATACAAGCCCATTTCATTCATTTTGGGGAACCAATTCATATTACACCTTGAAGCTTTGAAGCTCTGAAACTCCGAAGCTCTCAAGCATCCAGGTTCCCGAAGAATCAAGAAAGCTCTCTTCGTTCTTCGTTCATCGTTCATCCAAGATCAAGCCCCAACGGCCCTTTGGATCAACAATCATCCACCAATTCAAGATCAAGCCCCGACGGCCCTTGAAGAAGAAAGCACCATCGTTCATCATCCGTTCATCCAAGATCAAGCCCCAACGGCCCTTTGGATCAACAACGTCGACAAATCCACACACATCCAACCGTTCTTCAAGATTAAGCCCAAAAGCCCTTGAAGATCTGTTCATCACTGTTTCTTCAAGATCAAGCCCAAAAGCCCTTGAAGATCCGCTCATCACCGTTATTCAAGATCAAGCCTCAAACGGCCCTTGAAGAAACATTCATCCTCAAAATCAAGCCCCAACGGCTCCTTGAAGATCCGCTCAAATCCACCTTCAAAGATCAAGCCCACGGCCCTTTGAAGAAACTTCCAAACAGTTCATCCAAGATCAAGCCCCGACGGCCCTTGGATCAATCGCACATCCACAAATACACACCTTACGGAGATCGAATCAGAGGATCAAAATAGAGAGAGATTGTAACCCAAAATCATCAAATACAAATATTTGTTTGTGCACGTTTGTTCTTGTCTCTTTCGTTTCAGGAATTTTCCGTGTTCACAAATTGGCACGCCCAGTGGGACAATCTCTACCTCTCATCTCTTTCTCCGTTCAAGAAATTCGAGCACACTTCCAAAATTAATGGCTTCAAGGAAGGCTCAAACTGTTCCCGCAACTGGCACAAAGAACAAGAGCGTCCTCATCGCAACTGGTGTCACTTTGGGCATCACGACTCGAAGCATGGCAAGAGCTACTTCTGCTGCCTCTTTCACCTCTGCATCAACTCTGCCAAGGGAACAAAAGCACCCAAGGCACGAGCCTTTGATCACCTTAGCCTCACTAAGGGCACCAAGGGGGGGAAAGCCCAAGGAAATACTCCGAATCCATGTTCTCTGATGCCGATTCAAGCGACAGTTCAGCCATGCAAGTCATGACCATTGGAGCAACTTCAATCGATGAGCAGCTGACTCAAATGAATGAAGCAATTGCAAGGCTAACCCGAACTGTGGAAGAAAAAGACTTGCAAATTGCAGCACTAGTCAACCGACTGGAGGCGCAGGACGGCGATAAACCCGACCCAGAGGATGATCCACTAAAGGGAGGAGCTGG